AGGCACAGTAGTAGAGAAATTACATTTCCTGCCAGTTTGGTGATGCATCCTCAAATATGGATATAATACTTTCTTTTCAGGGGTGGAAGGCATGGGGAAATATGGATATGTTTGTAAATGCAGTTCAGTGGTTTAAAATGAAGGAACCACAAACAGAACACAACATCAAAGAATTAGTTTGCTGCTATCATGCATAATTAAATATTTAAAAGGGACTAAATGAAAACAAGAACAAAGCCCAAATGTGAGTAATAATGATCAAGTGGAGGATTTCACGAAGGTATGTTTGTTTGCACAAGCAAACAGTATTGCTTTGAGCTGAACCGTTTTCATACGTAAGGCATGTTCAGTGCGCACAGAGCCATAAAGAGGCAATGTTTCTAACCATGAAGCTTATTTCTATGCAGAAATAGATATAAAATGTATTCATACTTCATTAGGCACAGAAGTGGAATTGTGTGCAAATATTATTGGATGCATTCATAAGATTCATTATAATTCCACAGACAGCTACGATGGGGCTCAGATAATTTACTTTAAAGGGCATGCTATTTAGAGAAAGCAGTCACCCTTTCATAGCTCTCTAAATCAGCAAAAGAGCTTCCTCATATAAAGCCCAGCCTTGCTTGCTATATTCAAGTTTACTTGTTGAAGAGTGTACAGTGAAGGGCTTTGATTCAAACATTGCTCCCTGAAAACACTTAAGGCACACTGACAGGAAGATTAACTTTTTGTATTATATACCTATGATACACACTATATATTTTTGTGATTTTAAAGCAGGAGACCTAGTGCCTCTATTTTGTATTACATTTTTCAGTTCTGCATACTACAGTTTGTATTTGGCTTCTGAAATCTTTCACAAGTCAAGTCACTGCTGCAAAGATCTCATGACTTGCCTTTTATTGCTTTACATTCTGAAGTATGAGTTTCTCTAGCAGGTCTTGACTTTATGAACTCCCTATTGCTGATGGGGACAGAAATGCATTGCTGTGAGAACACAAGCCTGAAAGGAGAAACTTCTTACAACAAAGCATCACCAGCTAAAGTGACCCTAAGGAGCATATCATAAAGCTGGTAGGGGCAAAGACTGTTCCAAGCCCATCTGTGAGGAAAGAGTGTAAAGTTCAGAAATGTTTTTACAGACCTTTAGAACGAACAGAAGAACAGCATTTGCATTAAAAGCACATTAAAACCATATAAAGTACTGTAAATAATATTAAAAAATAAAATAAAATAAATCCAAGACACAGCAGATTACAGATTACCAAAAGGAGAGACAGTTGAAAAGCAAAGTTTGGGGTGTTTTTTTCTCTTGGCAACAGCAGAAATTTTGGCACAAAAGCAAATGCAGAAGATAGAGAAAACAGGCAGACAGGGTACAGAGAAAGGTTACAGGATCTACAACACGCATGCCACAGTTCAGCAAGACCAAAAGCACAGTAACCGCTTTCCCCAAACTCCCCTCCCCAGAGAGAATGGCATCCATCACACAAAAGCTTGTTGCCACTTCCTAAACTGAAGGGCTGATCTATATTGCAAGAGCCAGTTTGACAATACCCTCCTGGGAACATCCCTTGCAATCAGCACATAAGATGCCAGGCAGGCTCTCTGGCAAACGAGGCAAAACCTCTGCAAGGGTGATTCTACTTGACTGATAAACCCCCCTCAATCTCCTCATCATAGATTGTGCCCTGCAACTATCATCATTACAATACCAGGGACAGACAAAATGCCAGCTAAGACTGCGGCCACCCAGTGAGGCACTGACATCTTTAGCAAAGTTAATACATGCCAATCAGGTTAGTAACACTTCAGAAGAAAGTGCTTGTTGTGACCAGTCTTACCTCAACTGACCAGACCCCCTGAATGTTATTTTGTGGTTGAATATATTTTAAGCGTTAAGGTGGCTAAAAAAGACAAGGTCGGATTTGGTGGCACAGCAAAGGAGGTAGGCAGTGAGTCTAGGGGAAGAACCCATGCAATTTACATTCATTTGGGATTCCATGACAACTAAAAAGCAGGCCTTGCATGAGTTACCATAAAGCTCACTGAACAAACACTTTGCTAACTCAGAGCACCTGGGTTTTTTTGTCTTCTTTAGTTGATGTTTCTGCTTTACAACTTCCTTTTGCCTTTTAAGCTATCTTACATCTCCATCAAATATCAAACCTGTGTGTGTTAAACTTGTTTTTTACCTAATCATTTTAGGGGCAACTTACACTCAAGTTCTACCTCACTACTGAGGGCTGGCTCAAACCTCAGGGTCTGAAATCGGTATTGCCAAATTTCATTTGGTGGCACTTGCCTTAAAAGAGGTCAAACACGTCCAGGTGCATGACCTGTATTAGGTGAGTCTACCAGATGGGTGAAGTAGAGTCTTGGAAACGGCTCTGCCTCTGTCACCATTTCAGACAAGTTTTTACTCTAGGTATTTGTCTACTCTACAGTGAAAACAGGGTGTTTATAGTCTCTTAAATAGACAATTTAATACATTGCAAGAAAGCATGTACACAGACAGTTCAAAATCAGTTATACTGAGATGAAACCTTAGAGATTCCTGATTACTCAGGAATAACACCCTATTCTTCCATTGTATTTGCAAGCTCGGTAATTCAAAAGGCTGTGTTTAGGCTTTTGGGGTTTCTTCCAAAACATATGTAACTGTAAACACATCATGGGCTTCCTGACCTACCTACCCAGCAAGAACAGGAGCTAAAGGTAGGTACCTACAGGACACAGCTATTACCCTAACAGAAAACTGACCTGCCTTTAATGCCACAGTGGCTTGCTTTTGAAGTACACTGCTTTTAGACTTCCACTTCTTAACCATTCTTAAGCCAGTAGTTTTAATATATATATTTAGAACTTATTTCACAAAGAAAACAAGATTTCAGCCACTAATGACATTTTTCTAGCAGAGAGGGAGAGAACAGGGGAGGCACTGCTCATTCTTCTAGCACTAAATGTACTTCTGTCATGCACATACGAGAATGCACCAAAATACATTGCCCTAAAGATGATCTAGCTTGATTCAGCAAAGCTGAGTATGTTCTAACGCACTGTGGGCACTGCAAAAGACAAAGCTTTAAAAGGTTCAAAAGCTTTAAAAATTACGCTACAGCTACACACTCTGCTTTAGAAAAGCAGAAAGCAAACATGAGGAGCCCTAGATTTCAAATTTTGCCATCTGATAAAATGGTGTCTGCTCTGTTTTACTCCTCTGGAAGTACTACAGTTCTGCTACAGGACTGTGTCACAGCTACATAAGGAGAGATGGAAACATCTTATTTATAGAAGTTTAAAGCAAACCACAACCTACTGTTTGCTGTACTTTGTGATCACTTAGATGCTATTTACTGAATGCTCATTTATAAATCAGTTGGAAGGACTAAATCAGAGGGAGGAGACTTTCTGCCAGCAGTTCCTTTGATAAACTAGTTGACATATGTAGCTAAGCTCTCCTTCCATTTCTCATCACCAATGGTTTCACTTGATAAGCCACCTTATTCTCACAGCAGACACTGTGCTCCAAGGCATGTTTTTTCCATTCATCTTAAGGAATATGCTTCAGCCAAAAAAAAAACCAAAAAATTATCTATCTATCTATCTGTCTGTCTGTCTATCTATCATCACTTTTAGAGAAAGCAATTTTAAGTCTATCCAGTGGTAGAAAAAAAATGCTGCTAATCCATCTGTCCACAGCAGTTTGCAAATATTAATTCTTCCATACCTTTTCCTTTTCCTCAATTTTGTCATACGGGAATTCCACACAAAAAAGAGAGGAAGCCATCAAGGTAACTACACTTCAAGAATCAACTGCGCACACTGAGACTCTGTCAGATTGCATTCAGTTGCAATCCTAGAAACACGTGTAAGAATAATCCATGCAGTCAAACAAAAGCATGGGGTTTTTTTGCCTGTATGTTGTTAAGGTCTTTTCCCAGCTGGCACTGCAAAAACATTCTACTCTCAGACTGCTGCTCTAAGTATGTTCTCTCTCTAAAAGCAGCTGATTTAGTTTATCCATAGTGCTCTGGAACAAATACTAGAAATCAAATCTCTTCCTTTTCCTGACATCGCTAATGAGCACTCAGGGGCCGGGCAAACGAGCATTTGTAGCACAGACACTTCTCCCATGTTAGAAAGAATTAGAATTTTAAGTTAAAAGGCAAAACTACTTCACAGTAAGACACACACATTCATCACCCCATTCCCAAAGCTATGGCCAGTAGCAGCACAGATTCTGGCAGTGAGGGAAGAGCACCACAACCTGCCAGCACCACGAAATTCGATGGGTTTAAGGAATCCAATCCCATTAGCTGTCAGACACCCAGAATTCCAAGGGAGACAATCCAGAGGTAATGGGATCTTTCCCATTCAAGTACCAGATTAATGGAGAGAAGCTCAGGAGAACGAGAAACCACAATCAGAATTCAGGCAAACACAGAATTCCAGTTTGTGAGCTATTCCAGTGCATCAGAACTTTTAACTTCAGTAACAGTGAGCTGCATACATTACATAGCTCTTTATCTGGACCCACTCAAGAGAAGACCCTCAACTGAGCATCTGTGTTTTCCTGGAATTCTTTCAGAGCATGCCCTTGAAAGGACTAAGAACATCTATGCCCCAAAGCCACAGTGCAAAATAATATATTAAAACTTTTTATAATGCACAAAACTCACACGGCACCCCCCAAAAAAATAATAAAATCACACGAGTTATACAGCTCATAAAGTTGTGTCACATTAATTCTTACTGGTCAGCAGGCTGCCCACAGAATTCCCCTAGGATCTGCACAAGAACTTCTGACTGGACATAGAGAAAGGGAACCCCAAAAGCCACCAGCTGACACATGAAAAAGGAGTCCAAAGGGTTCTGGGCTACCTGGTGCCCAATCGAGGAAACTGTGCTTTGCAGGCGCTGGCTTGCCACCCTAACTCTGTCAAAGAGGCCAAGAGAGTACTGCACCACCCTGCTAAAGAAGGAAGCGGAGCTACCTGGGGCCCTCTCTGCTGTGGCGGAGATGGTATTTGCTCGTCCACTTCCATCACTTGCCATGGCGTCCTGCAGAGGTCCTTTGGTGTCCTGTAAGAATGTGTGGGAAATTCAATTCATATTCAAACTGAAAATGCCGCAGAAATACACTTCTTTTCCCTGCGTGTGAGGCTATATGTGCTGAACATGTTGAACTAGGAAGACATCTCTCTCACAATTAAGATACCCCTTAATCATCATATATGGAGGCAAGGCCTGAAACAAGTGTGTGCCTTCTCAACATATAGCTTTACTAAAGCTCTGAAAAACAAGCTGGATATCAAAGAAAGTCAAAGCAATAAGATTCCTGAAGTCTGTTCATCTGGGAAATAAAACAAGTACTGTTTTTAGCCTTTGGTTTTGGCAGTAAATAGGGCACAAACATTGGGATGGATCCTTTACCCTTCCAAAAAGAAGGAGTACAGCTTCAGTTTGTACTAATAAAACCTGAGACACAGGCAGAAAGACAAGCACCACCACTACCACAAAGGAAAAAGTAATTTAAGATGGAAGGGCTGTTTGTGGCCTGTGAGCTAACCAGAACTGAAGAGACTAGCATGTAGTTTGCTCAGAGTATTTCAGTGTTTTTGTTTCAGCAAAAACACTGAAACAAGGATTTGAGGAGACAAATTAAAGTGCCTTAGATTGTAATGACAAAATCTGGGAGACTTTTCTGTATTATACAGTATCTCTTGATCCAATATTCAAACACAAATGCTCCCATTATGGTAATATAAGAAAATGGATATCCTTTCTTTTCAGGCAGTTTCCCTTTAACACAGAGAAAATGTTCAGAAATGAAGGAAGGTTGCCTTCATAGTGCATGCAAGTGGAGTACAACTTCATGTTTCAAAGGAAATGTAAATAATTTGTTTCCTATTAGGAAAAAACATGGAGACACAAAAATGGGTAAAATTATTCCTTAAGACTCTGTATGGACTGAGTAAGTATTTCAGCTTACAAGAAAAATCAAAATCCTGTTCTGGACAGTACATTATTTTATAATAAGAACCATGAAAAGAAGCGGTAATTAAAGGAACTGCTTTTAAATAAAACATACAGAACCACAAGCTCTCATGACATAAAAAAGGCAGTTCAACGCACTCTGAATTATTCTAATCTCTGAAAAACAAACAACAACAACAACCAAACCCTCCAGCATATATACTTTTTTAATGTTACAAATCAAAACCTATTAATATGAATAGTTGGATGAAAATGAGTTACCTTTCCTGACAGAGGGCCCACTGCTGGCCTCTTCCGCTGGGCATAACCAGAGAGTCGGTAACAGTAGTGAGGCTTACAGTAGAACTTACCTGCAGATAAAACACAAATGATGGTCAATAGAGAGAACACAGCAGTTCAGCACAATATAAATGTCCATCTCACTGCAGCTTATTTTCTGTTGCCATTGCCGTTGCTCCCTCTAGTTTCTTCACTATACACGGAGGCAAATGCTATCTGAAGTTTTAACTCCAGCCCTCCTCTCTCCCCCTCCTAACTAGCCTCCTTTCCATTGGGTGTCTGACAGCCATTTAGCTTAAAATCCTATCAAACACCAGAGCAAAGCTGTGAAGCTTGTGTGGTATCACATGCTAACAATGCAGCAGTGTGTGAGGAACAAAGAAATCATCTCATGAAAAGCTGGCAGAAGCACTTTTGGAAAAAGCAAGAATGAATACAACCAGCAGAGGAAAGTGGGAGAAGACGGTGTTAACTCCCAAAACACCATCTCTAAAAATGCACAGTGGCTACTTATGGAGAGTACAATTAACCAGGGATTCATTTTCACAATTAAGACATTTTGTGATACTACTGGTTTAGTAACTGCCCACAAGCCTAGATGGGTTTTTCACGGGTATTTAAACGCTGTCAGGAAGTAATACCATAACACAAATACACAGTAATAACATCATACAAATAATAATAATAATAGAAGCAAATTGATGGCACATAATTATCTTTCAGTGTACCACTGTCAGTGTATCCTGCTTGGTACATGCAGCCCATAGTAGCATCTCCTACTGCTATTCTATTCATACAACAGCGCTAATGCATTTCAAACCTATATTCTGATCTTTGCTTCTTCTGCTAATTTCACTGGGACAGTATTTGCACAATGCTTTATGACGGAAAAGTGACAAATGCTATATTTTGATAACCTCTGCTTAAATAAACATTTAACATTTACTCTTTAAAAAAGCCTGCACTTTCAATTTGTCTATAAAGAGCTACAATAGAAAAGCTCTTACATAAAAAAATGTCAGACTTTGAAGCCTAAAACCAGACACTGACTACAGAACATTGCAGAATGCTTATCAGTCAAAACAGCCAGATGAATAGCAACAATGCGTGTACCGCTTTATTTTTTCTTTCAAAGAAAATCTGGAATGAAACATAAGCTAAATTTTCACTGTAATTTAATTAGCTAGGAAACTACATAGTTCTGTTTGACCATATCTGCTTCATATCCATAAGCAAGTGTTAGGCACTTAAAATCATTTCAGAACGAATGCTATTAGTGTGTTGAAACTCTGAGCTTTGTGTTTGCCTCACTGAGAACTATTTGGCTGTAACTACATACATAAGCTTGCTTGCAGAAGGAATCACTAAATCTGGTGGCAAAAAGTGTTTCAGCCTACACAGCTGACAGAAGAGCTTAGTCTGTTATTGCTGAACACATAGTAAGAAACTCAGTTCCTTGTGCATGCTCAATATAACAGCATTCCTCAAAAAATGCTTTTTTCCAACTCTGATTATGGATGAAGATGTTACTTTTATATGCTGATTTCAAAATTGTTGTTGGGCCCTTTAAACTTGCAGGCCAACTCTGCCGACCTTCTGGCCAAGTAATAATTCGTTTTTTGTTTCTTACTAGGAGACTGGTTTATGAGTCTAAGTTTCATAGAATCATAGAAGAGTTAGGGTTGGAAAGGACATTAAGATCATCAAGTTCCAACACCCCCGCCACGGGCAGGGACACCTCACACTAAACCATATCACCCAAGGCCTCGTCCAACCTGGTCTTGAACACTGCCAGGGATGGAGCATTCACAACTTCCCTGGGAAACCTATTCCAGTGCCTCACCACCCTCACAGGAAAGAATTTCCTCCTTATATCCAATCTAAACTTCCCCTGTTTAAGTTTTAACCCATTACCCGTTGTCCTACCACTACAGTCCCTAATGAAGAGTCCCTCCTCAGCATCCCTATAGGCCCCCTTCAGATACTGGAAGGCTGCTATGAGGTCTCCACGCAGCCTTCTCTTCTCCAGGCTGAACAGCCCCAACTTTCTCAGCCTGTCTTCATATGGGAGGTGCTCCAGTCCCCTGATCATTCTTGTGGCCCTCCTCTGGACTTATTCCAACAGCTCCATGTCAATTTTATGTTGAGGACACCAGAACTGCACATAATACTCCAGGTGAGGTCTCACAAGAGCAGAATAAAGGGGCAGGATCACCTCCTTTGACCTGCTGGTCATGTTCCTTTTGATGCAGCCCAGGATGCAGTTGGCTTTCTGGGCTGTAAGCGCACACTGAAGCCGGCTCATGTTCATTTTCTCATTGACCAGCACCCCCAAGTCCTTCTCCGCAGGGCTGCTCTGAATCTCTTCTCTGCCCAGCCTGTAGCTGTGCCTGGGATTGCTCCGACCCAGGTGTAGGACCTTGCACTTGGCATGGTTAAACTTCATGAGGCTGGCATCAGCCCACCTCACAAGCGTGTCAAGGTCCCTCTGGATGGCATTCCTTCCCTCCAGCGTATCGACCGAACCACACAGCTTGGTGTCATCGGCAAACTTGCTGAGGGTGCACTCAATCCCACTGTCCATGTCAGCAACGAAGATGTTGAACAAGACCGGTCCCAACACCGATCCCTGAGGGACACCACTCGTTACTGGTCTCAAGCTGGACATTGAGCCATTGACCACAGCTCTTTGTGTGCGGCCATCCAGACAGTTCTTTATCCACTGAGTGGTCCACCTATCAAACTGATGTCTCTCCAATTTAGAGACAAGAATGTTGTGTGGGACAGTGTTGCACGCTTTACGCAACTTTGCTCAACACTTTGTGACTGAACAAGTCCATTACATAAAGTCATTACATAATGCATTGTAAATATGTAATTTTTGGTTCTTTCTTTCCCTTAAGCCTAGATGCTGTTTCAATGGCCATTATTCTACCCAGTATGTGCAAAAAGTTTCTTCCTAGTTATACACAGTAGATACCTACTAATTTCATAATGTTTCAATAACATTTCAATAATTTTGTAACATTTCAATCTGCAGTAGAACATTCTGGAGTTTTATCCTGTAGCATATCAGTTTATACTCTTTATTTCATCTTTGCCTCCAGGGGTGGGGAGAACTATCAGTACCAACATTTTTTCCTGTTATTTTTTCCTGTTATTTTGTTTTCTACTCCATCATGTCTGGAGTAGAATCCGTTCCACGTAACCTCTCACTAGTTTTATGCCATTTTGTACGTACTTTCCTCCTGAGACAGGAGTAAAGATAAATGGTAGCTGTGGAAAAAAATAAAGAAACCTACTGACATAAATAAAGATCTGAGATACTTTCTTGTATTTTTTTCTTCAGAATACATGAAATTTCTGTCAAACACTGCTCAATATAGAATGCAACACATTTTAGAAGGAGAATACTTTTCAAAAGTGATGTGTGATTTCAAGTTACTACTCTTACAGGCACACTTTGTTCATAAACTGAGTTTCAACTGCTGCCATATTATCTAGTTTCTCAGATCTGTTAGGTGTATCTGGAGATTCACTTTGCATGCAAGACTCTTTAACCAAGTCATCAGCAAGTTTTGCAATACTATTCCTTCCTCCTCAGTATATCAGATACAGAAAACAGTCATTACTGAATCCCCAGTAGTGACTTCAACACCACTTTCTCTATATAACATTGACTTACCTCTAACTCAACTTTGATGCTCCATTTTTCATTATACAAATAAAGCTTAGTTTGTAAGGATCTATTATCACAGACCCGGATTATAAAATTCCTACTCTGGTACACCTAAAATAAACATATGGAGTTGAATAGCTGTGATGCCTTCAAGAAGAAAAAGCTGACTACATTAGCCTCCAATGTGTTATTTTCTCTTAAGTGGCATTAAACACTAAGGAGTTTCCTCATTTGACAATAATGAAAAGGGTCTGGCCTTCAAACTCAGGCTCCAAACCCCTTTCAAGACCCCAAAAGCTATTTGTTTTGTTGCATTCTAGGATCTGTTATTATGTTAATTATTAAGAGTCCAGTCATGTTGCTGTAGCATGACCTCGCCATGGGAAGTCCATGTAGTTTCAACAGTTTTGAGAGATGGTGTCTTTGGAATGGATGTTACACTCTTCCCTAACTCACCAAACACTTCTTAAGCAAAGAAAAAGCTGAAATCATTAGACAGACTTCCAGGATAGTTAACCAAATTCTGACAAAAAGGCAATTTCTCTTACCGTCTTCAATATCATAGGCGTAAGATGACAAGCGCAGAGTTGTTGCACAGTATTCACACTTGAAGCAACTGCGGTGGAAGAACTTGCCTTCAGCACTCAGCCTTTCCATCACATAGACCCGCTTGCGGCAGAAGTAACAGACATCACTGCCTCCCAGGTTTTGGGGGAACTCCTTCTTGAGTGAGCCCTAGACAGAAATAGGCATGGCTAAATCTGTGTGTGTGCCCAGACTCACCAAGATTGCACGGTCATATTTTCTCTTCATTTATGCAGATGATACCGGAGCATCTGAATGGTGCAGTTCTTTCACACATGGATGCTGCAGTTCTTCAACACGACTCACAATTTTAACCAGGACACAAAAACTAACCTTACAGTCCAGGGAGGAAGGTCCCAGCATGCCATGCCTACAGATGTCAGGAGTAAAACAAGCTTTGGATAGAGGGTGGACACCAGTACTATTAATGATGACCTTTAAATAGATGACTGAAGGAGGCATATGATGGAAAGCCAAAACCATTAGAAATCCTTCAAAGAGCCTTAGACCTTAGACCTCCATTACCAAAATCAGTTATCTCATCCAAAAAATAATAATGCAGAGGTAGCCCCAGTGGATCAAACATCTTCATAAATATGACAAAGGGTTTCTCAACTGTTTTTTGCACAATCCTTGGATGCTGAGGTTAGATTAAAAAACAACATTTTGCAAGGAAAATGAGGACAAGCATGAGGCTAGATAGAGAAATTAAATCTTTCACAAAGCTACAACAGATTCCATCAGTGGTAGTAACAACTGGACACTCACAGATCTACAGTACATCTAAACACAAACACGCATTATCTTCTGCACATCGTCTTACCAGTTCCTTCTTGTCTAGAAGGGTTTTGGGTTGCTCTTTCCTTTGAAGCTGATTGGCTATCTGCTCAGCCAAAGAGCTCACTCCGCCTGTGTACATCTTTATATACTTCTACCAGATGGATGGAAAAAAACAATAGTGAAGTGAGAAAAGAAAAAAAATTAAATTAAAAAAAAAAAAAGACTAAAATGAGAATAGGTTAGGTGGTGAAAAGGTGTAGAGAGGTCAAATCATGCCAAGACAGTGGACAATATGAAGTGACAAGTAGTAACAGCAAAGCTAGTGTCATCAGAGATCACCAGTACTGCCTAGGATCAACTGTAGGAATGGGAAAAAGGGCTTGCATTTTACATCCTGTAAGTGTTCCAGAAATACTATGCTGATGAAGAAAGGAGATCTTATCTTTGTTTGCAGGGTATTTTGTACCTTGAAACCTGAGCATAGACACTTCCAAAGACAAGGCCAAATACAGGTTAAGATTTTAGGTTCCAGGTAAAATTGGCATCATAACAAAGACCTATTAAAAGACATTGCATAGTCTACTGCAACATGCTGATTACAACAGCCTATTTTTATGCTTAGTAATGGGAAAGAATTAATTTACATAGATGAGGGAGAAATCCTTAACTAAGGAACTCAAAGTGATTAAATAATATGAATTCTTCCAATGCTGAAAATACATAGAGATTTATATGGAAACAGATGCAAGAGCCTGAGCCAATGCACCAAAAGCCATACCTGCACACATCAGGAATATATACTTTTTCAACAGTGAACACAGCCTTATGACTAACTAGGCTTTTCTCCATTATGGGTACTGACCGACTCTCTAACTCTGGGTAGCTAAAAACCCTCTGGTATTCTGAGAAATGTAGACAGGTTGACTGTTACGTTAAGTGGCAACAAATGGGTGTTTGCAAGCCAAGTTCAGTCGCTGCAGGAGCGGAGGAAGTGTTTTTCATGGGGAATACTTACAACTATTGGCAATAATTACATGGTTAAGAAAATCAAGTGATTACATCCATGTTAGCTCAACCACACTGCAAACGCCATGTATTTGATTCAGAGCAGCAAGGAGCACACCAAGCAATTTTCCTTTTCCAGGCTAAGAAGTATTATGAATGTTTCTAGTGGGAGCCTCCTCAGCAAATGAAGGATCATCAGAGAGACAGTCCAGCTTCTGGCAAGTGTAAAATATCAAGGATAAAAATTTTCTGAAGAAAAGGACTAAAGGTGTATCTCAAGACTCCCTTTACTCATATAGCAGAACTTGTTTGAAGGACTCGTTATTTCCCACAACTAATAACACAGCACAAATTTCACGTGTGATTATTAGCTTTTTAGGAGCGTTTTAGACCTTCACGTGTTCAGATATGGGAACAGCAGGAAGCTGAACTGAAATTCACCACAGAATGGGTACTTTGGAGGGCTCAGCCATCAGAGATTACTGCTGTTATCACTGAAATCCTAACTATTTAAGCTCTGTGTCACTAAAGTAATGATGCTTTATTTCTACTCAGACACAACTTCTATCTCTACTGAATGCAGAGTACATGCAGAATTTATAACTGCAAGAAATAATACATGGTTTGTCTTCCACAGGTTCTATATACTTCCTTAGCTACTGTGTGCACACACATATGGGCAGAGTTGCCACTCAATGTCATACACCGCACCTTGTCAAATATTACATTTTAAATGGTGAACAGTGGAAAAAATTTCTTCAGCATTAATCTTTATTTGGCAAGAATAATATGGCCAAGACTCTTCCTTTAAGAGACCAGAAACCTTTAAGACTTTAAAAGTTTTCTTAAAAGAGAGTTCAAGCTTTTCCATGGGATAAACTTCCTTTCAGCTGAACCAGGTTTCCACAGAACCAGTTTTGATTTGAAACATTCATTCAACATTCATTCAGATGCTTCAGGATCTTTAAATTTCTACCAGTACATATGAAGGTCCATGCTTTAAAAGCTGTGCTAATCTTAACTGACAATACTTTGGACTATTTAGTGTGGGAAATTTAGTCAGTGAATTCTTGATTTGGGTTTCAGTGTTTCTGATTTGTTTTGCCTTTTTCCTGCACATCACATTTGGCCTTATACCAGGCCTTAAATGAAACATTTTGCCTTTCCTTCTGTGGGCAAAAGCCTTTAAGATATACAACATTTTGTAAAGAACCCACTCCAGCTTCAGACAAATCAAATTCCTACTATTTATGTAAGATAACTGCAACTAGTTCAAATTATCACTGAATTTTCAGAACGCCAAAGTACTTTTTATTACACGCTGTCCACTAAGCATATATGCACAAAAGCATTCTGCAGTTTGGCCCAAGATCTCAACAAAAGCAGCAAGCAAAACAAGAAAGCTTTACTGCAAAGCCAAAAAGACTACCAGTCCTCAAAAAAATAACATTTGAGAGTGAGATGTACCACTTTTCACCTACACCAGATGTTAAATGTATTTAGTTTCAAACTGCTTTACGGCTGACAATAACCAAGCTATGCCACAAACTGCCTCTGGCTTCTCATTTGTGCATGAATATGCACAGAAATTGCATTTTGCAGGTGAAGCACTGCAAGCCTGGCCATCTCTTGTGGTGTGTCGTTGGCTGGTGGGGCTAGGGCGCAGCAAGCGAACACAGCTGAGTGCACCTCGCAATGCTCAGGCTAATGCTACCTGTCGAAGAGAGTCAGATGAAGGTGAAGAAGGGCGGTTAGAAGAACGGAGGCTAAGGGAGAGCTCCCACTGGTCAACAAAGAATCGGCGAGACGGTTCAGTCTCAGGCTAAAAAATAAAATAAAAACCAAAACAATCATACATGGCTACAGAGAGAAGAGAGGAGAAAACACAAACACTCAGGTCCTCTATGCCCACCATCAAAAAAACGATGCTCATAGGAAAACTTGGAGGAAAATGCCCAGTGTATCTTCACTTTCTCCCTATCAAGACAGAGTAAGTTATTCTTAATTTGGTCTTTATTAGGCTTTAAGTCATTTAGGACCATTTGGAAGCAGCTACCTCCTTCTACAGATGTCCAACTTCCTGAAACCCAACCAACTCAGCCACTGGCAAAGCTCCCAAATCAATTTCCTCTACTCCTCCTGCATCTCCCACTGTTCTTTATTACTGGCCCAAGGCACAAAGATCGTATTTCAGGCCATGTGAGACCTCTTCTACATTTTAACTATATAAACCAAAAGCCTGCTTCTCCTTGGGGATGGAAGAGAAAGAAATTAACTTGTATTCATTGCCAGTAATTGGCAGCAAATTTCTAACCTAAAATTTACTGTAAGCAGATTGGAAACATCACACTAAGAAGAATGAAACAATGTAAACCAATCTGCTGTTCTTGCTTATCAAATAGCAAACAAAAAAATCCCAAACTGAGAATTTGCATCTTTCTGAAACTGGTTCCTCACAGGAGGACCCAATCAATTGGTCTTCCAACATACCCCTCATTAACTCTATGGCTCATTATGCCTATCTCCCAACAAATACTTCACACAAACAGGGAAAAAACAATAGCTGGAAGTATCAGACAAACAGTGCTGGTAGAAAGAGAGCATTCCTAGAAATTATAGTCTGGAATGAAAAATTGTGCAAGTTTCAAGTATTTGACTCTCTTTTACAAGAAAATTATGGTGTTAGTTATAAAAAGGAAAAATAAATGTCATATAGCTGTATGACCCTCAAAAATAGCTGTTTCAAGCCACTTAAGATAAGCTCAAGACTAAATCTACTGGATAAAAAGCAAAATAGCTTGGCTTTCACAATTTCCCCAATTTAAAGAAATACAACTATTTGAAAATGTCATACTTTGCTAAGCCTTCCTTCTCTTACTAAACTATTATTTTCCTTCACTTAAGTCCCACACCATAATCCATCACTGCCTGCAGTGTTCCAACATCTGTTTCCTTTTTCCTCTCTGCCCTACCCACTTTATCCTTTCCTCTACTTTGTGTTCTCAGCCTGCCCTCTATTTTCTCTTCTCCTAATCCTGCACTATACAAAAATTCAACAGAATCCAAAAATTATTTCTGCCTTTGCATTATAATGCTGTTAATCTTTCCTACCCTCAAAAGGAGCTTAAAAGTGCTTAGAGAGCAACATAAAAGGTAGGAACAAGATGTTTTGGCCTACTGATTGATGGTCTATTAATGTTCATTTCTGTATCATCATTTCAACTAAGTAGGGAAAGGCGCACAAGCATGCTGTCTTTGGATCACGCCCAAGATTTTTAGTGATGTCACTCACTAAGAGAGGTGCTAGGATGTTTAAACTAGGCTTCTTACTCAGTCTTTCAGAGTTTCTTCTGTGTCCCCAAATCCTATCTAAAAATCTAACTAAAGGTCCACTCTTTCTTCTTGGAGAACAGCTTCACTGACTTTAATCACCAGCAGAGAACAGCAATGAGAAGTGACCTAGAAGTTATAAATTTCCTTTTGACATGGCTTGGAAAAGTTATGACCACAAACCAATGTTCTGGGACTGTTTATACTCCAGCAGAAGAAAACAGCTTGATTTTGGATGGTTAGTTCAAAACATTAAGCTATTAAAAAAACACCCTAGCTTATGTAGACAATATTTTCCAAAAAGCACTCTCCAGTTTGCCAAATGCTGTTCAAGATAACTGAAAATAGATAGGGGCAAGCAACTAGAAACTGAAGAAGCCACTGTTCAAATCAGCATGCTCCATATGCCAAGGATGATATACTGGAGAGAAAATTAAGCACAAAACCAAACCAGAAGTTTACACTAGAATCAAAGAAAATCCACATAAGCACGGCCACGAAAGTAGTACTTCAGAGCCAGGAAGTGTGCCTGGAAAATGTAAATGTTGTTGCTTCCAGAAGCATCTGTGAGCATTTGACTGGTAGACGACCACTGTGAGATGATTTGATCTGGACTCCAGCTGGTTTTCAGAATGTAGTCTGAAGCTCAGGGGCTGGGTTTTATCTTATTGTTTATATTGTGTTTTGAGAAACAGAAATACTGTTATTTATCAAGCAAGGAGACAGGTAAAGAAGTAGCAAGCAGGATAAAACTACTACACAAAATAGACTTGACTGTGCCCTTCTAGCCATATAACTGTAGAGCAGTGGTCATCATATTTGGGTGAATTTTTCTCTCCTTCTGACCCCAGATGCAATCGATACCCAGAATCCCACACTGATACAGGACACCAGTAGGCAGGGCTGTGGTCACCTGATGCCTCACTGCAGGTCTGGACTCCAGGAGGGCCCTTTGCTCAACATTCTCAGGCACTTGGTCATCAGAAAATAAACGAGGAGATCTCTGTGAGATGAGGAAGGAGGTAGTAAACAAAACAGGAAAAAAAAAGAAAAAGCCCCCAAAGGAACACTGGAATGCCACACATAAGGTATGAAATTCACATGCAGAACAGTAACAGAAGCTCCCATGTGAAGGCTGCTTTTACTCTCAAAGGCTACTGTTCTAATCAAGTGCTAAGTTTTGACCCACAAGGCCAAGAAAAAAAAAAAAAGTTGAATTAGTTGTTACTCACAACTCTCCCACCTAGGACTGATGCAGCCAAAACCAAACAAGCGTGTGGCCTCTCAATCTGGCATTACCATCCAAAATAAATTAATAAATAAAACCTGTGGCTTTATCATGCATAAAGGAGCTTATTTGCCAACTTATTTCACCATATTTCTCAATTCTCAAGGATTTCCTTCACATATCTAAACATGTACATACTTGTGTTTCTCAGATTTGTGCACAGAAACACGGTTCCAGGGTAATAATGTACTTCAGTTCTCATAAAGAATGAGTTAGTTTCCTTAAAGATGAAAAGTGAATGCTGTATTCGCCAAGGAGAGGATGCTTAATAAGCCTGGCTGGTTGAAGCAAAGTACAGCAAAATTAAACTGTCTCAGAAACTGCCAGTTTTACTTCTGCAACTTTGCTGTCCTACTTGTTCTTACTGCGCTGTCACGTCAACACACCCCCAAGCACAATATTTGACACCTCTGCTATTCTGGTCTTGCATAACAATCTTCTTAAACTGCTGTGTGGTGCACTTAGTGACACAGAAAACAAGACCTGGCTCGTGGCCTGCTACACAAGACAGGAGTATTGCTTGCGATATCATCACACAGCTTCAACTGATTTGTTTGTAGAGTTCAAAAGGGAACAGATGTGCATGAAGAAACCTCAGGCTTGATCTGTCAAGAATGCCAGGGTGCTGCTATGTATTGCTAGCTGTCCTTCAAAGCAGAAGAGAAAATCAGGTTCACACCCAATTTACGAGAAACACTTCTCTCATTCAGATGCATTAATAATACTCTCAATTTTCAGCTGCTTTCAGTTCCACCTACTCCTTCCTCCTAGATCATTTTCACTAAAACTAGGCCTATTATAAAGCTGTGGGCTTCTGTGTCACTGCAGACACATGCTTATTCATATTCTACTGCCTGTCAGAAAACATTTGGCCCACAAGAGTCTTTTGTTAGAACACATTCTGAAAGTTGCAACAATTTTATAGCTGGCTACCACTTAAGACTTAATTCATTCAAAGCCTTTACTGGAATGTCAATGAATTTGTCAATATGAATTCAAATCAACCAATTCTTTTGAGTGCCTTTCTTTTCCTATGCTTCTGTATTATACTGAGCCGTTCAGAGAGACTGTTGAAGATTTCATTGTTAAGAAGGCTTCAAAGTCTCCATATTAAATAATGCCTCATCATTTCTCCTTTTACTTTGGCCTGTAGGAGGCAAGATGGAATGCCAGCTGTTTAACCATCCAGAAAGCAAGCAGTGAAAACAATGCAACCATGTTTGCATGAATTAGCACCAAACATAACTCTTCTTGTTCTGCTACAGCCACAGCATACTTCACTAAAGAGGTGTAAGAGAAAGAAGAATGGGAAGAGCTTAAGCGCTAGATCTATGGCAAAATAAAAGCATGTAGCAAACTGTTGATAAAGGCTTGTTATGCATTTATGTGGGTAACACACAGAAGTAATCACTCCTAATTGACTCTCAGCAGTTCCAGCGTGTTAACAGCAGCATTAGGATAAGTGTGTTTCACTACCCAGTCTATTTGCTCTCCGTATTGCACATATCCACCACAGCCTTGTGTCATCAGCATCCATGCCATTTGTTCATGCTCTTTACCCTTTCCTGTCTGGGACTCTGCTCCCCAGGATAGTCAGCACCAGGTTCCCTGTTTCTCTGCAGGCAACAAATTATGAGCTTAACAACAATCACAGAGCAACTTCCTAGTCAAAACACACTTCATCTGATTTTTCTTAAGATGCAGGCAGAAAAGAAGCCATAACGACAGCAGAACAGTTTAGTAAGAATATTCTAAACCTGCCAATAATAAGATGGCTCCTGTAGGAAAATTAATTTTAAACATATATTCATATAAGGTTGGTAAACAACAATAAAGTACCACAACATAATGAAATTAGTACAGTAAAGATGGTAACACACTCAATGTAACTCTGTGATGTTAGATCAAAGGATAGAAATGGAAAGTTTAAAAGAAGTGGCAGAATGAATGCATTAGAAGCATAGAGTTTAAAAAGGTTCAAAAAGACATCAGTGTAACAAGGACACAGATCCATCTGACTTGCTATGAGGCCAAGACGATTTCAGGAAAAGAAATCATTCCTAATGAAAAAAGAATGTCTCCAAAAGCAGATTTTTCAGCTGAGCCTTCGAACGGATCAGTTCTATCGCACAAGGAGCAAAAATTCCTCAGAGTTAAAAGGAGGAAGCCAAATTTTTTATTATTATTTCTTTGAGCAAGACAACATGCAAAAAAAGTTTTTTATAGGAAACAACATAGAAAAATGGTCAAAGTTCACTTGGACCCAGCAGTAGCTAGCTCTCACGACTGAACTAGACAACCAAAAAGACACAGGACAAACACTTGAAGAAGCCAGTGAGAGAAAACATAGATCTAAAGGGTCCTTAGTAACTGAAAGCCATTTTCTCTGTATGGAAAATGAATCACATGCCATAGATTAAAAAGTAAAACTACATTTAACTGCCTTAGCTTCTCTATCTGTAATCTTGGGGAAAACCTTTCTTTTCTCATAAAAGATATCTGTCAAAATTTTCAAAGGATGTTGGCAAGAAGAAAGCTAGCTATCACATCACAGAATGGTTTGGGTTGGAAGGAACCTTAAAGATCATCCAGTTCCAGCCCCCTGACATGGGCAGGGACACCTTCCTCTAGGCCAGGATGCTCAAAGCCCTGTCCTGGCCTTGAACGCTGCCAGGGATTGCAGCAGCCACACCTTCTGTGGGCAGCCTGTGCCAGTGCCTCACTAGTAGAGAGCTTCTTTCTAGTATCTAATCTAGACCTAGTCTCTGTCAGTTTAAAGCCATTCCTCCTTACCCTGCCACTACATGCTCTTGTCAAAAGTCCCTCTCCAGTTTTCCCAGAAGTCCCCTTTAGGCACTGCAAGGTTGCTCTAAGGTCTCTCCTGAACCTTCTTCTCCAGCCTGAACAAGCCCAAGTCTCTCAGCCAGTCTTCATACAGGAGGTGCTCCAGCCCCCTAATCATCTCTGTGGCCTCCTCTGGACTCAGCCCAACAAGTCTGCATCCCTCTTCTGCTGGAGGCCCAGAGCTGGATGCAGTACTGCAGGTGGCATCTCATGAGAGCAGAGTAGAGGGGCAGGATCACCTCCTTCGACCTGCTGGTCATACTCCTTTTGATGCAGCCCCCCAGGATAGGGTTGGTTTCTGGGCTGCGAGCACACACTGAAGCCGACTCATGTTCATTTTCTCATCAACCAACGCCTCCAAGCCTTTTTTCCTCAGGGCTGCTCTCAATCCATTCTCCACCCAGGCTGCAGCTGTGCTTGGCATTGCCCCAGCCCACATGCAGGACCTTGTACTTGGCCTTGCTGAACTTCATGAGGTTGGCATTGGCCACCTCTCTAGCCTGTCAAGGTCCTTCTGGCTAGCACCCCTTCCCTCCAATGTCGACCACACCACAGAGCTTGGTGTCACTGGCAAACTTGCTGATCAAGAGTAAGTCCTGACTACTCTGCTAAAAGGTAACATTCCTTAGAGTTTATAGGCATACTAGTGTTCAGCAAAGAAACAATTTCCACCTATGGGGAAATTTATTTGTACAATCCTTATTTAAAGTTATGAACTGCAGCTTTTTATCACCTCAAGATTAGTTCAGGATTGATCAGGGAGAAGTGCAATTCTATTACTGCAGTAGGAAAATTAAACAAAAAATTTTAGAAAAGGATGCAACTCAAAGAAGCATGATGACTATGTACGAGACAAATATTAAAGGATTTCAGGTAATATTTAACTGGAAGGACAACAAATGCATCTGCACAAACATCTGGATGCACATATATACATTCTGAATAGAGCAGCTCTCTACTCCAAATTCAAATTCAGACTGAGTAAACACAAACTCTTATGAGACAAAGTTCTAGGTATGGGGGAAACAGAAGGACCACAGTGGACACAGGGCACAATGCTCAAAAAAAGCACGTAAGTAATCCTAAAAGAGTTTCATGGATACAAGGGCAAATTTTCAGTCACACCTATTTAAAGACTGGAGAAGCAGAAAAGTTGCATTTTCTTCCCCTCCAACCATTTAACTTCTGTTTTTCTGCTACTCAAATCTGAGAAAGGCTACTGGAGTTATAACTTACTCTACAGTAAAACCCTAAAGTCTTCAGTGGACTGGAGAGAGGAGACCCTCCATGCTTCTGGTCAGCTAATGCTAACCTATGTTTCTAACCTAAGAGGCTGAAGACGCCCTATCACCATCTGAAAAAAGAACATTGGAAATTCATTTGTAATGAGATATCCAGTAACTGATCTAGTCACTTGTACAAGCAGCAATGAAGAGAGAGGGACAGAGCATGCAGAGGGAATCACCTGCTGCCTGGGATACGGTGGAGAGGAAGGTGGAGTGGAAGAAGAGAGCATGATGACTTTTTTGGGGCAGGTCCGAGAACATTCTTTACGCCTCATCTTTTTTCAAAACAGAAAAAGAGAACAAAAAATTCATAATAATGGTAGAAAAGTTAACATTACCATTGGCTTTGTTGAGACAGGCCAGAACGCATGGACAGACAGACTGCGATCTTAAGCTCACACGTGTCACAAATGACCTAAAGACATTTTATCTGAAGCTGAAAGACACAAGTTTTCACCCATAACCACACAACCACGTGTCCATTTGACAGATTCTTCTACTGGCAGCCAGTGAACAGTTCCTTACATCAATCATCAATTAAACCAACAGTTTCTGACTCAAGATCTTACGACGAGTGAAAGGTACAACTTGGATTTCTCCATACCACAGCTGGACTGCTCTTTGCTTCATGAAAAGTTACTTATTAGTGTGCCTCACAATGGTATAAAACCACCTCAGGCAAGTTAAACTCTACTGCATTCTAACAGAACAGAAATAGAGCTGGTTTATAGCCAAAATGTAGCCACATCTAATAGTCTGAACATTACACAACGCACACACTGTCATGTGTCCTTGTGATGAGTTTCATTTTAATGTGCTAGAAAATATGCCTTTCTAGGTCTCTATTCCTATGTACAGTCTTTTCTCCACCACTTCTTGATATTAATGCATCTTCTGCCTGTTCATTAGTGCCCTTACAGCTAAGCTGACACTAACATCTGTTTGGGTGTTCTCTTCCCTTTCAGAAGAAAAAAATCAACTCAATTTCAAACAGATGCTACAAGCAGCTTAAACTAAAGCACATAACTTTGCACTGAAGCAGATGAGGAACATTTACATGCTGTTTCAAAAGACTCCTCTGTAAAGCCAGCGATGTCTAGCTGAAAGAGTGGTTAACACTTTCAACCACTACAGCTGTTCATGGATTTTCATCTGACCATGTCCAAGTCTGCAGTTCAAATTTCAAACCTTTCGCAACTCATGTATTTTTTTCCATGGCAGATCTCAGAATACAACATTGTATAGGCATATGAAGTTCAGTCCTCCAGTAGGATGCATTTCTGAGCATGCAAACACAAAGATGGCTATAGGAAAGAGAAAATAAGTATCACAGATTTTAATAAAAGATTAAGAAGGAAAAACAGTATTTGCAGAAATCATTGGTGGTATATGTTCTCTTCTGTTGAGATTTGAGCTCCTGCTGGCTGTGGTCACCTCAGTCATCTTTGAAAACCACAGTTCCAACAGTTACTGCTGTACTTTTATCACACTTCAGGGAACTATCTCAAAAGAACAAGCATCAGATCACTAGAGGCAGAAAAGATGTGCACCAAAAGACATGTGATCCCCACCTTGTAAGCATCCATGCACACATCCGTGATTTAAGCTTGCTGCTGTTAGAAGACCTCTGAGACTATAGCAGAAAATGCTGAAGGCCATACACTGAGAGTCTGGAAAGCCAGGACAAAATCCCATTTAAAAGGCCCACTTCCCATACCATACCCAAACATTCAAATTCTCTTCTGGATAGACCATATGGCTTTCCAGTGGCTTCATGATCCCTGAGGTGCTCTTTCCCAAAATGGCTTGGAAAGCAACAGAACACACCAAGATGTTTTTATACAAGTAGGCATTCATTTGAGATTAACCACCACACCATGAAACACAACGCAGTTGTTTTTAGGAGATATTACCTTCACACAAATTACACACATTTTCACTGTGCACATACACTTAACAGTATCTTCGTGCATTACTAGCTGCTGCTGAGGTGCTCATAACAGCATGAAACCAAGTTTGCCAACACAGAACATTTCCAAAGTGCAGCTTAATAAAGCAAATTTTGTAATCCAATTCAAGAGGAAAATGCAGGCCACACAGTATGCTGCAAGCCACAGACTGGTGAGGTTTTCAACCTGCTTGATCTTTTCTGAGAGAAAGGGTCTTGTAATGAAAGTAAAAACTGTTTCAGAACAGACTGTGCCAGGACTTCACTCTTTCTAGGAATTCTGTCTTAGCAAGCCACCTCTACAACAAACACTTTGCCTTACAAGCTCATTGCAACTGCTGGCCTCATAATTTTTGACTCCAGGGCAAAGCAAGATTCTAGATCTAAACTGAAAAGTAAGTACAGCTAAGTAATTCCATCTGACAGACACTGGCAGGCAATAGCCCTCGACAGATGTAATTTTTCCATCAAAACTGGGGGTCCAACCCACACCATATCCTTTGCAACTGTGTGGTTTCCCTCCTGCAATCACTCTTATACTTCTACAGTATGCCTTCCTCTTCCACACAGTTTTCAAGATGCAGGATGGAACAAACCTGTCAGTCACAAGACGTGAAACTGCCCTTCTCCCAGCTGAGGATCTCAACTTAATTCTGCCTACTGGCAAGAACATTAGGCAACCTATGGTTTCCCCTCCAATAACACGTCACCACTTTGTTCCCTTAGGAACTGCTCTGCTCTTCTTCAAAGGACTCCCAAAGAACATATTTGCTATGTGATATATCTTATGCACAGTCACTGACAGAATTTTTTGCTCATAACTCTCATACCATACAACAGAACCCTTTCCCATAGCTTCATGAACAACTCTTCTGAGTTGTCCCCCTAAATTGTCAGGAGCAATACTACTCCTTTATAACATCTCCAATAACATGCACTGGTAGCCAGTGCCAACTTCACTGTTGGAAATCTGTGGCCCAGGAATAGCTTTGTAGCTAGAGTGCCCAATGTCACTGTAGAAAGCCAATTCAGAACTGTAGAAAGGTACAGTCTCACAGCTACCAGATTCTGCATGCCTAAGCAACCAGAATGAGGTATCATAGCAACCTGATGAAGCACTGCTTCAACCACTTCCTGCAAGATGGATTTCTGTCCAAGTTTGGCAAAACTGACTGACTGGCTCAAGTGGATGGCACCCTGCCTCAGCTGATCTCTGATCTGTTGAGAATAAATGGTTCTATATACACCCATAGCTTTTGACTGAAGACAACTGATGCTCTTCACTTCGGCAGGCAAGTAACAAGGAACCTTTAGAATAGGGACTGTGTCAATTGTTTGACCCACTGCATCCTGCAGATTTTGAATCCTGGAAACCCGATTTTGTTCTTCTCCATCTGAGTTATCCAATGAAGAGCGCTGCAAATCCAGCAAGAAACCTGGACTGAAGAACCAATCATCTTCTGTTCATGCAGTGAAGCTTATCAAGGAAAGATCATCTCCATGTGTAATCTTGAAAGGGAAACCATCCATACAAGGCAATCACTGTCAGTGTTGAATAAAATAATTTAAGTCCTTGAAGGTACCACTGTTACAAAAACATTTTCCTCAGATCTGCCCTGCATTGCTGCCTATATGGATATTCTACCGATGTAGAGGGAGATCAGAAGGATTCCACTACCACCACCCCACTTTTTAATTGTGTAATTCAGGTATAAGCAAAGAACAAGCACAAGAACAAACCACTCTTTGGTGAGGAGAGCAGGAAACAAAAGGCTGTCCATTTTTTTTGATCTATTACAAAAGGATGACAGTGAGAACTTGTGTTTCACCATAAAGACTAATTATAAAACTGTTGCACAGTTTCAACAGCAGATTCAAACAGAAATCTCAAGGCTGCAGGGTTATGATCTCTTCCAAGTGCTAAAATACAAAACTTCATCCTTCTTAGCTGGGAAAGACAACCAACAAATCCAGTTTTCCTTTTTTTGTGGGGAAAGATAAGCGATGGTCATCAAATGACTTAATACCGTACAGCCGTATTATGTTCTTCCATATCAGATCTTTGGGTACTCCCCCTTTACATGGGAAGTATTCTTAAAAGACAGAATTTGCATTAATCATGGAAGATGTGTATCCATCTGAAAGTACTCATCGCCCTATAAAGAAGATTTTCATAAGACAGAGGAGCAAACACTGAGTCAGGAAACCTAAACATAATGCTGTCATTTTTAAGACTCTCTTGACAGTCCTACTGACAACAATTCTTCTGGCTTGGGTTTTCTTCCTTGGAAACAAAACTTCCAGATCATGGTAACAAGACATGACATGCAGAACTGTTGAATGCTTCAAACATGAATATCACCATGAATCCTTAATCATACAGAACACAGTGAATTTCCAAACTAATGTCACCTTCTTCATCTTGACTCCAAAGTTTGCTCTGATTAAACTGCAACCAGAAAGAAACAAATTTTTCTCCAAATTATGGCTGTCAGAAAAGTACCTCTCAGGACTCTCAGAAGCAAGAGGAGGCCATTTGCACAGGGAAACAGTGGAAGCAGAGTAAGCCAATGAGGTAAGTATCACTATCTGCCTGAAAAAACTGTCTGTCACAAGCCTTAGCTGCTGAAAGTGCATCGCCGAAATAAAAACACTGGCTATGACAATAGGCCAAAACAAGAGAGAGAATAAAATCTGATACCTGATGCTTTTTTTTCCTAGTCTGAAACCCTCTGTGGCAGCAAACCTAACATTTCCTTAGTTTACATCAATAGAGGCATCTGCAATGCCAGGTATGTGAGAAGTTGGCAAGGAAAGTTACATTTGTCAAAGGGAAAGGGAAACCACAGTGAAGTCTTCTGTAACTGCAGGACACGAGATTTCACATGTGAATAGCAAACCTAATAACCAATTTTACTATTTATATCAAGGAAAAGCTTTAATATAATAGGTGACATGACACCTTTTACCTTATTGGTTGTGGTAATAGCTTACGTTTCAAATGTAAGAAAACACAGAAAAATCTAGATATTCTAGAGGCAAGTTTTCTGCTAAAACATCCAACAAAACCCTAAGGAAGCTGAAACTATGAGAAGAAGCCAGGGAAAATTCTCCTAAGTGCTTTTGAAATATTAAGCCATGCACTATTACCAAAGAGTGATGTTGATCTTATTAACCAAAAGCTAAATTATTTTAAATAAGACTCACAAAAGGCACTGGAGAAAGACTGGTTTAAAAACAGGACAGTGATAGCTGGTGTTGGGTGCAGGCAATGTGTAGTATTCATAATCGATTTCTTTACCTGTTTCCACTGGGGTATGGGAGCAAGACGGCCCTGCTCTCGTCTGCTGGATGGCTGGTTGTGAACACGTTCTTGATAAGGCAGGACAGGTTGCTGCATGCAGGTTGTAGGGAGAATGGGACCAAGGAGGAAAGATAAAACAGTAAAGGAAACTCAAAAAAGCCAAAGGAGTGGGATACAGAGTAAGACAGACAAACATTAAAGAAAAAAAAATGGGTAGGGGAGAATTTATTTAGCAAATAAAATATTAAGAAAAAAAAGCAAAAATGGGAAACCAAACATATTTTTGTTCCTTCTCTTTATCTTTGTTGTTTCTTCAAATCAGCCTGGTTATTCCAGCCATATGTAGTAGCTGAGAAACATCTGACTGATAAAGAGTAGGATAAACACCACCATTCTAAGGTTGTGTTGTATTGCTAACACTGATGTGCAGTGTAGCGCAGACATACTTGAACGAGCTTTAAAGTAGCAAGGTCAGGTCCCACTCAGTCTGGCCATGGCAGCACAAAGCCTGGCATAAGCTATGAAGACAAACCAAGCAGCAGAGCAAGAACTCAGGTCTTTAAACTGTACTGAGCCTTATACAGCTGACAATGCACTGATGGCAGTAGCTTGAAGTGACTCAATCTAACTTTGAAGATAACCACCCTGCAGTTGCAATAGTCGAGATACCATCCTGAATAACCAGCAGTTATCCGGAAGTGTCACTTGGAATTACAGAAATATCCTGATTGCAAAGAAACTCCCAGGCATTTACCTGCTGCACTTACATGCACATGCAAAACTTAACCACAGTTCACAAGAACAAACAGATGTAACATGGCATGACGAAGTTCACATCAAATTAAATGGTCATTCTTAAACATTGGAAGTGGAATGTTTCTAGAAAGCTTTTAAACGGCAATAGTAGTTATAAAAGAAACCTAATTGTTTATGAATGAACTTACGCAAGACAGGCAATAACAGAGAAATAGACTTTTATTAGGAAGTTCTTCTCCAGCCCATACTCCTAAATTTTATCTTTTTCTTTTTTGAGAAAGCTTCACTCTTCCCTAGGAAAGCCTTTGAAGCAGAGAAGTGCCACTAGCATCCAGTCTCAAGGAATGCATCTTTTTATTCATTATTTTCCTCCTCAATTCCAAAAGGTTTTATTATCCATCTCCTACCTGTCTTCGTAAGCTTGAGGACTGCACTGGTGCATTCTCCTCAAACTTGGCCAGTAGCTGGGTTGCCATAGACTTGACTTTGTTCTGATTCCCAATGGCAGCGTCAATTCTCCTCTCCGTCAGGGCGCTCACCAGCGTGGGCCTTTCTTCTCTGTAGCTTCGTGGTATGTCCTCCTAACAATCAGTGATATCAAAAGATATAACCTGATCACCTTTTCCTCTCTATGTGGAAAACAAATCTATTGGTCTGCACTTGAAAGCTCACATTTCCGTTTTTTTTCGGCATGTCATCAAAAGTTCTGTTAAACTTTCCTTACCTTTTCAACCTTACCAACCAAAGAGACCACAGCTGAAACACTCCCATGAATCCTTTGACATAAAGCAAAAGCGTATCTCTAAACCTTCAGTGACATCTCGAAACACTAAATTTTTACTCATTTATAGCTATTTGGCTATAAACATTTCAACTAAAGGACTGACTTATGGGGCATACTAGACATATCTGCTTTTTGCACTAACCACGGCTAAAGTTTAAATATGAATGAAGCTCCTCTCTGTACTGCATTACCTTACTAAATGAAAGTTTTATTTTTGGTGTCCTCACATCAAACCAAAGTAAACTCCAGTAAAAACAGAATATGAAGGAACTGCAACATTTCAGTTGTTATGTACTATTCTTTCATGAGTATCAGTCAAATATTTACACTACAGATATAACAAAGCATAACCGCTGAAGAATTAATTTTTATCTAAATAAATAATCTTATATAAACCCTGTCTGGAGATACAAAATGAGAGCACTGAAGTAGGAAAAAGAACATACCATGTTTTCCTCCCTGACACCTTCTTTATTGTAATACTTACATCCTCAGATTGGCTGGTTTTTCTCCTCTTTCCTGCACCATCCAGTTCTTTTTCTTTTTTGTCCTGAAAATGGAAGGAGGAACAACAAGAAATAAGCAAACACCAAAGATAAGGATTCTTATACCTCTCTGGCCCGAGACAAATGTCATCAATGTACTTAAATAAGCTTTTTAATGCAACTGTTTAATTCTCTGGGCTCATTCTCCATTTGTTTAAGAATAGGGTTTTATCCTGATCTGCATTAAGAGATTCTTACCTTAAAACTGTACACTCTTCAACACTTCCAACTAATTGGGAAATGAGTAAACAAGTTATGTTCCAACACAACATATATTCCCAAATATCACTACAAGGCTGGCATTTTAAGACTGAAATATACTACTAATTAAGAATACATACTACAGATGTGATTCTGCAGTTCTAAATGCTGTGTGCTGCCTCATACCAAAAGCTGACGAACACGTGGTCTCTTGTAAAAATACAGTAAATACACACTTATACATGCACTTCTGATACCACTTACTTGGACAGCAGCCTAACAGACACAAGTGGTGTCAAGACTGTGGTATGGTTACCTTTGGAGTGCGTTTTCGAGAGATACTTTGTCCCAGTTTACTGAGAAAAGAGATAGGTGATTTGGTACTGGCAATTAGGGCAGCTTTTTCTTCTGCATTCAGGTCCAGACTATCTGTTAGCAAAAAAAGGCAGGACAAGGGAATGCCAAAAATTCTTTTCTGTGGTGCTATTATTAAATACACAACTGAAGGACTTGCTGATTATTTTTTTTAACATACCACTTTTCACAGATTCTTAGCACAAAATTATTTTAATGCCCAGAATTACAACCCTTCTCAGCTACTCTGCTTTTACTTCTTGCCAAAATCAATTCTTCTTTCAGGGTTTATAACCATCCAGAAGAAACACTATGTCTGTTTACTCTATTTACTTTCATATTTAAAGAGCATCATGATCATCAGTATTCTTACAAAGAGTTCAGAGTTTTGGAAATAGTACCTGATACATACTGTATTTTTTAAAGGCTATTAAAAACATTTTTTTCCCCACCAGAATTATATACTTGAATTAAGATCATCAATATTAAGGCTGTAAAACATTATTAATATTTAAAAGTAGGCCATACTGATTTGCGTCAGGCAATTACATTTTGCTGTTCTGATCAAAGACCTTTCATTTCTCACTGGCCTGAAGTTAGTCTCACCATTCATGGATGGTAAAGAGGTATGAAACTTAGCCAGTGTTTTGAAATTACCTACTGAGCAGCTACTGGCAAGGCATCTCACATAAGCTAAGACATCTCACATACCCTAAGAACAGCAAGAAAGCAGACAAGTTATCTAATATTGCTGAAGCAAGTTTAGAACTTTTGAGGACATTCTTTGTATTAGCTCTTTTTTCTCCTCCTGATGCTGCTAACATTGTATTTATCAGCACCACGAAGAAGTCAACTTCTTGTAATGTAAAATTAGTGAGTGACTAGTATGACCTCATGCAGAAGCAGCATGATGATAACCGAAGCACACATGTTCACCCTGAAACCATCTTTGAATCTGACATGCCCCAAGCTCCTTACCATTGGAGGGGATGGTGTCTTTGAACATCTCATAGAACTGTGTGAGGTACATCACCATTGAGAGTTTATCTGGCTCGCCAACAGATGCCATTTCCTTTCCAGTCATAATGGGACATATTCCAAACTCTTTTTCAGCAATGTCAAAGGCCAGCTGGTTATTCTTCTCCACATTGTGCTCATCCAGAGAATCAAAGTCTCTGCAAAGGACAAAAAAAGGGTATGGTCTGAATCAAGTAGAAACCAGACCTCTAAAAGAATTTGGGGATCAATTTCCTTTCTTTTTTCCCTCCAACCAAAATCTCTCAAATTTATCTGCCAGCAACCTTTTTGTATTGCAGAGTTGATGCTACTTAACTGTGGTGAGCTTTGGCTCAAATTAATTATTCTTTTTTCATTTTTTGCTCCTTCTCCAAACCCAGGTTTTTCTTCTTAAAGACCTTATTATCCTCTGAAATACACCTTCACTTCTTCCTTTAATGGAAAGCTGTAGCATTTTCCCCTGCATCAAATCTTTTGTGTGCTTGGAACGAATGTAAGTTTTCACTTTTATCCCCCTTTTTTCTTGACAGATTCATATTTTTAATCTGCTGGCTTTTCCCCAAACTTGTAGAACTACATAAAAACTATATAAAAAGCTACAGCTTGTAGAGAGTTACATAAATCATTTTAAAAGCTATCTGAGCTCTCCACAGGTTATATAGCTATTAAAATAATGGCTCATGTTAACTCAAGTAAACCAATAGAGAAGTAATTCAGTGCACATGGAAGGCAATAACCACATCATTTTTCAACATGCTTTACATTGGATTATGTGTTTAAATACAGCTCTAGCGCTTACTTTTTCTACTGTCCCCTTGGGAAATTGAAGCCATTTCAGACTTTAATTAAAGTACCGGAGTCTTTGCTACTGTTACTTCTTCCAGCCAGTGTTTTCCCATTTTAGAATCTGGCCACTGTTCTACCCCACGTATCACGGAAGAGGATTCCTCTCATTTACCCAGTATCAGCAAAGCAGTAGCAATATCTTTCTAGTTTGTGGGTCACTACTCCCCAAAAGAGCAGCAGTTCATAGTTTTACAAGAAACTATGAACTATACCTAACTTCACAGAGGAAAAAGCTGTCAGTCAGTAATGCTTTCCAGTCAATATCAATTTGAAGCTTAATTCTGCCTAATCATCCAGAAGGGAAAACGACAACACATTTATCTTGATGTTCATCACGCTATTACGACCTTCCACTCTGCTGGTGATTCACGTTAGTTTCCATCAAGCCTAAGTGAGTTCATTTCCATCTATTTCTCCATGTATTGCCTCAGTCTCCATACAATTACTTCTAAATATCACTAACGTTCTGCCATTCCTGGTTATTCAAAACAGACAGTTACTCACATTAAGTCTGGACGGTATCTGTGGATAATGGCACACAAAGCTAGGCCACTTTTCCATGACATTGTGAGATCTGTCACATTAACACCAGCATATCCATCGGTCTGCCTCTGGCACCAACTGAGCAATTTACTGGAGCGAGCTACAGACTCTGTAAAAAAAAAAATCAATCACATTTTAAAGTAGAAATGCACAATGTCTTTTTTAGGTATTCTAAATGCAACAAGCCCCACTAATCAACAAATGAAACCTTCATGCAAACAATCTCATTCTGCAATAGGCAACACAGTATTCAAATTTTTTTAAAAGACTATATTTATCTTCATTTTAGAGCCAAGAAAATGTTTAATTTGCTAAAAACTACTTAAGTTACAACATGCCAGGCTTTTCACCCTAGTCCTTGTTATAGAGCCCCAGGAATTACAAAGCAGTTGCAAAGGCTTGTTAAATATGATCAAAAGGATATACAGTAGCACAATGCTCTCTAAAGCCCAGATATATTATTTCTAATGGAAGAACTACAAATGTACTTCTGCAACTTTTTCTTTTCTCTTGAAAGCTTTCCTTTAAAAGCACTGACCTGTTTTGACCTTGCCTTACTGCAAGATCTGATGAGATTACAGCCTAAAGGGATGTGATTGCAGGGCAAAGAACTAATCAAAAGACTACACAGCTATTCAGCAGTGAAAGGGAGGCTTAGAAGCAAAGCACTATTCGGAGTCCCCAAACACTATGTGGGCATCCAAAGGCAAGGTATGCAGAAGAAAAAGTTCAACATAGCCTTCAGGGTACAGGACAAGTAGACAGATACTGAAATGTTTATCACAAGAAATCTAGCTTTCAGAATAATGCAAGCAAAGTGAGCTTCATTTGGTTAAGCTAAGAGATGACATTGAGGAAAGCATGAATATGAAAGACTGCATGAGAAATACCTTCTATAATGTTTGTAAGAATTCTGAGTTTCCTGTTAGAGTGAATTCAAGGTAGGCTTTTGCACTCTAAGTAAGGACATTGTTATAGGATAAAGGAGGTGAAAAGAAATACTTGTATAAGAAAATACACTTAGAAATTTAACCACATTATTAAGCAAGGGAAATTAGGCAAACAAAATATATTTATATGTTTGTGGAAACTTGAAAGATGGTAAAAACCAGAATGTTGATGAAACAATTGCTGGATACAATTTCTAAACTGAAAGGGACTGGTTAAATAATACCCTACAGCCCTGCTGCTCTATGGTTGTTGCTGCACTGATCCAGCTCCAGAATACCAAAAGGAATAGAACAGCTGCTAGGCCTACCATTTCGAGTCAGCTTTGGTGTCCTGGAGTTTACAAAGTTCTCTATTTCCAGGTGAATGTCTTTCAAGTCTCCTGTATTATACAAGTGGCGTACCTAAAATGTCAGAAATAATTAAAAATTACCAACATGCCGTGCACCCAAGGTCCATACAGAAAGAGCTAGAGAACGAGGAGCCATCCCAAAGGAGGAAGACAATTATTATGCAACAGGAATCTCCAGTCCAAGAACCCCAGAACAACAACGATCAGCTCATCAGTGTTGAACAGTCTAGCTGACTGCTGCTCAGTGGATACCAAATTGGAATGACAGACTGTTATATTAGATTATCACCAAAAAAATGCACAGGCACACAAACACAAATTTACATTACAGCATGGTTAAAACTTTCAAAATCAAGAATTCCTAAAACAGGATTTGTCTGTACTAAGTACAGAGGTCTGTCTACTCTTGACTGACAGATACGCTTTTAACTGCTTTCACATTACACTGCAACATAAGGTCGCTATCTGTTCCCAAAGCATTAGTACAGCTTTACTTAAAAGCAAAGACACCACAGATTACAAGCATTCAGAAGCACCAGTCATCCAGTTACCTGCTGGGGCCGCAAGAAGTTGACGTTGATATTGGGATACCGGGTGGCAGGATCGATGCTGTAATGGCTGAAGTTTTTACTCACATTCTCAGGCGTGGTCTGTGGCAGTAGCCTATAAATACTTTCCCTTGGGAAAAGAAGATTAAAGGGAAAAAAATATTTTGGTTTTGCCTTGACTGGTTTGTTTCAGGTTTTGTGGTGGTTTTGGTTGTTTGTGTTTGGTTTTGCTTTGTTTGGGGGAGGTCTGTGTTTTTTGTTTTGTTTTAAGACATGAATCACTACTAACACTGCTAAATGAATTCTGGAGATATAACCATTCAGATCAGAAATGCAATCACTTCAGACACTGACAGCTAAAGATTCCATATATTAAGATCTGCAATTTAATACAACTCCAGAAATCAAAAGGGGGGAAGAAAACAATACATTAAAAGTGTAAGCTGAAAGGGCTCCCCAGTACGGTAAGAACATTTAGACACTGAAGCAACTCAAGAAGACAGCCACCAAGGGGACTAGAGCATTTGCCCTGCGAGGAGAGACCAAGGGAGCTTGGTTTGTTCAGCATGCAGAAGAGAAGGCTCAGGGAAGATCTTAATGCTGTCTCTTAAAACATCTAATGGAAAGGTGATAGAAGTCTGGCTCCAAATACATTACCTTCATTTTTTTTTAATTCAAACAAATGGAGTTTTAAATATCTGTTGTGCCATTTTTGCAATTCTTAAAATTATACTGTGGTTCTTGATGCTGAAGCTGCAGTTGCTTATGTTTAAGACTGGTTCTACTGGCTGTTGCTTTTACTTATTCTACCTTTTAATTACCTGAGTTCTGATTTCTAAGAGATTACTTTGGGTCACCAAAAAAAACCACACAACCAAAGATGACAAAAACATCAACAACTCAGTACACCAAAGACAGACAAGATGCTGTTTAGCTTACATGAAACAAAGCGACCAGTTTAGGATAATATGAAATAAAAGCAGGTGACAGCTTCCTTAGAAGAACATCAGTAGATATATTTATAAGATAATAGGGGATGGAATAACAATTTTGTCTCTGGTACTTTAAAGGCACCTATATCTTCATCTGGTTTGCTATTGCAACAGTGGTGACAGTAGTCAGGTTCATTTCCTCCACACAATGCCAATAAGCACCCAAGAAAAGATTCTTCAGCCAATCTTTTTTTAAACTAGAACCAAGAACAGCTGCAACATTTCTTATTCCTCTATGAACATACTTCAGTTTATCACCTTCTTAGGAAATTTTTTCCTCAACTGAATTACACCCACAAGCATTCTCATACAAATAGTGAGAACCCATCTCCCATTCTAGCTATCTGTACTAGCAGAAACTGAAATGAATTATGAGATGTTGAAGGATTAAGTTACAACTGAAAGTGTATTGATTTGCTGTATTACCTCTCTGCGAGAACTTCCAAAGGACTAGCACCAAGAGACCAACTTCGTACCATCCAAGCAGAGTCCATTGCAGCCAAAAATCCCCTGGCTATTCCAGTTCCCATTGGCCAAAATGGCTAATATTATAGTTCAGAAAAAAAAAAAAGGCAGAAAAAAGAAAAGCATCAATTAGGGAAAGTTTTAAACAAATATCAAGAATATATTCAGATGGTAATCTCCTGGGAAACTATAGCTCAGTAATTGGCTGAAAGGTCTACTCCCACTGGGCTAGAACAAGCCACTAACTGCCCATCAGCTCCCCTCAAAGCCCATGATCCCCTGTTTCCAACACTTCCTAGTCTGGAGTGCTTTAGCAGCTTTCTCTTCAAGACTGTACTTTTTTACCAACTACAAAATGGAACCTATTAACAGGTCTACAGTAAGTTCTATAGTCTAATCATCCCAATGAGGAGTAGATAAACAGAACTTCAGAGCAATCTTTGCACATTTCTTTGCTCATTACCATCCTAATTATCCTGTTTTCCCAACACTCCACTCTTCCCTCAAACAGCAGCTTCCCTTACAGTAACTCTCCTACAGGCAGCACATATTTCAAGTGATGGGTGCTATGGCTTGTGCTTACACTCCAATTCACTGTTTAAACGTAAGTTTAAAACACAAACCTCTAAGAGACTGTCCCCAACCAGTGCCACAAGTAACTGGTGGCCATTCTGCTCTCGCACCAGGGCTGCATTCTCTGATGCATACATGCATGTGAAGTCAAACATGGCCACATCTGGCTGACCATAGTGATTGATGGCGAAGTCCAGTGATGGCAGCTGCTGATTAGTGGAGAAGTCAGCTGCTTCTCTGGCATAGTTTAGCAGAGCCTCCTGGTCCACATTCTCCCGTGAGAGTAGCAGCTCTGTGTCAGCATAATCCTGCCAAAACCACAAAAATAAAGTGAGATAGCCAAATCCACAAGTTTATTTTAAGGGTGGTATATACAGTAGTTGGCATTAAAATGCTGACAAATCCACTAATACAAGTTTGCCTTCTAATTTCTTTCATTTCTATCCATATTTATGTTTCCAAGGGAAAATCTGTACATTGAAAACAATCTTGCAAGCATTTCTGACTGTGAAAGGGCTAAGCAACTCCCAAGCATCACGCACTTTTTCGATGAAAAGCACAACACTCCAATCCTTCTTTATGTGTTTGTGGCCAAACTACTTTTAGATCAGCTTCTACCAGAATAAGATACAGGTAAATTTCCAGTACTTTTTTTCACTTGCTGCTTCTTCATTCCCATAAAACAAGGGAAGCTCAACTATGATCAAATATTGTTTAAGCATACCTTAGCAAGAATGAAACCCCCAAATCTACAGAGAGAGAAAAAAAATTGGAGAGGATATGTCTTGTAACACTCTTCTGATGTTTTAAAATACTTCAGGCATTAACCACATACTTCTGTTCTAAAATACACCTGCATAAAAACACTACATGGTGGAAAAACAGCACGTTTCCCTCCTTTCAGCATACTGAAAGCAAATTGTTCCAGAAAATCTTAGTTTAGAGAGAATATAGGAAAAGATAATACCCACATGCCGTATCACTCCTTTTTCCAGCAAGCTCTGTTTTTTGGCAGTCATGACAAAGTAGTGCGTATCATCTTTGTAGTAGACAATGTTCTCCAAGTCAATACCTTGTGACAGAACAAAAGACATGGTGGTGAAGGGACAAGTTACATGCTACATAAAACACAAAAGCCCTACTGGAAGGAAGTGAATTGAAAATACACGGTTAGAAAGCCTTTAAGAGAGAATGCCAAGCAGCTTTCTCCCATGCTTTTGATGGCTTTAAAATATGAATCTTCAACAAACCCACAAACAGCAATTTTACCTGTATATAGCTACCTCTTTGAAATATAGTTGTCATTAAACTTTGCATTCAGATGTGGAGTGCAAGAAGCTGAACTCAAAATTCAGACTTTTCCGATTTAGAGTTCAGATTTCCTGAATACTATCAGGAAAATAAGGTCACCACTCCTGAACAAAAATGACACATATCTGAATGATACATATCTGCTTTGTATAGCTGCACAGAACAGCCATAAAAATGGCAAGTCAAATTTCAGAGAAAGCAATGACTGGTTTCCTTACACAAGAATGTTCATTTATTGATTAAATTTGATAGCCGAGTTACAAAGCTGCATTAATAAAACCAAAGAGTTTTCACTGGGAATCTGGCAATTGCTGGCAAACCTGTGGCTTCCCGCAAATCCTGGAAGAACTTCTGGTTGAATATGAAGGCCACACCACTGATCTCTTCTACTTTGGCTTCAGCTGTGGTGTTACGATTGATGAAGTTAGCTGTGATAGCAATTGCCAGTTTACCACGGAACTCTTTTCGCCGAAACCCTATGGGGAGGATAAAGTGGTAATGCTGAAAAACAGAACACACCTTCAGGGAAGGGTCAGCATGCCAAGGACAAGTGCCCCCACAAAATAAAAAGAGAGGATGGATTTGGTTAATTAAAAACTCCTCCACAGAAAGAGCAACAATTGCTTCATCAGAAAACAAAAAAAAGCTCTCCCCTCTCTCTTTTTCCCACAAATTACAACTTGCACCAAAAATATTACAAGACAATTCTCTGTTACACAGAACAATATTCAACACTTCAATTCCTACTCTCAAAAGTAAAAGCTACAACACTACTCAAAGACAAAATTACCCAGGTTAAAACATGTAATTCCTTTGCTAGTGGATAGGAAGAAGAAAAAAGACAACCCACATGCCTGATACAGATGGATTTTTAATGGGCTTTGCATTTCCCTTTTATTAGTCAAATGTCTCTCCACATTTTGATTGGGATGCTAAAGGCTTTTTTCTTCTCCAACTAATTTAAGAATAAATTCTATTTCAAAGTGAATTATGGATACACCATTACCTTCCAATGTGTTCCTCCTGCCATCCCCTCCAATGATTACTTCAAACTCATACTCAGATACTGGATGGGTTTTTGGGTGGACCAATGCACGCCAACCTATTCCTGTTAACAAACTCCAGGTTAATATAAACAGCGTTTATAATAGAACAAATACACAGAACCACTTCTTAGTATCCATAATCCCTTCTTCACATTACCAGTAAAGATACACTGCAGGACAGGTATTGCTGTTGACGGGGCTATTCCTGACTTGCACAGTCACTCTGTGTGAATCAGAGACAGAGACACCTCTGGTAAACCCCCCTGACTATTACCTGTAAGAATCACTACAACCTTTATGACTTCTCTACTATCTATTCAATTAATAGGATGCCAAACGTATAACGAAGCCACCATCACCCATGGCAATCAGAGAACAGATTTCACAAAGATACAAAAAGCGAAACAAGGATCATTCACTGACAAATATCTTTAGTGAATGCAAGGAAAGGAGTTGTTTTAGAAAGGTCTCTTCTAAGTCTAGTAGGCTTAAGTATTTTAGGAGTACTTATGATCTACCGTGTCTTAGTCTACTTCTGTGTAGTACTTCAGGTGATTTTGTTTCATACAGTAACTAATTCAGATTTGTCACTAGAAAAAAAATCCTACAAAAAATCACAAAGTGTACTGATAATTACTCTTCTTAATGGAGCATGAGGTAAGGACTTGGAATCATAAGTTAAAGAGTCTGTGTATCCCACCATAACTTCCCCTTTCTCTACTGGCCATTTCAATGATACTTGCTTTCATTCTCCTGATCCTCCGGAGGGTAAACAAGCCCCTGAAATTCCACATTGACATGGATCTCTATTCCCAAGATCAAGGCAACCTTCAAAAGAATAAGCTGGAGCTGACGGATACCTGCAAAAAGCAGATGATAAATAAAAGCAAAAGAAAAGAGCACAAGTGCCCACGTGTCTCTGTTTGACGTTTCTGACAAACTGATGTAAGGCCAGCTGCTACTTTCTTTTCCCCTAATGTGATCCCAGCACTTCAGCCAGCCAGCACTGGTGTGTAATATCACAGCATGCCAAAAAACTTCCATATAGCTGAAAACCCAGCCCTTTAAAAAAAATACAGATTAACTATTATTTAAATGTATCAGTCCCAAATCAACAACAAGGGAAACAAACCAAACATGCACTGCAGCAGAGGAAGGGAACACCAGCAGGACTGCACTTTTGTCACAGGTGGCAACAAGCCGTTTGATCAGCCTAGCTGTAATACTGAACTGCACCTTCATCTAAACACCTTTGACTCTGTGAGGGCATACTAAGTTCCTCACCACCTCTTCTCTCTTTAGTTAAGATAGGGAGTAGATATGAAAATGACAGTGTGCAAACTCTATTTATTTGAAGGAAGACAGCTTGCTGTCATATTTCAGATAATGGGAGAAAAAAATCATTCCACCTGAACACCAAATTTCAGCTGTGCTAAGATACAAAAGACAGCTACATGCATAAAGTACTGGAAAAATTAAAATGATAAGAAACAGGAAGGGGAAAAAGCAAAGTGCAAGACTGAAGTTCCACAGATATTCCAGTTTTACCATTCATTGCCAATAACAACAACAGGGCACTTTTTGCTTTGGACAAGAAATCAAACCTTATCTATTCTGTGTCATTTTATGCTTCCCACTCTATGCACAGTGGAGAACTGTGCATATATATCACTTCATGCACTGTGGAGAACACAGACTGGTGAGTAAAAGCTGCCTGTGCCATGCCATTCTTGAAAGAAAAACTGAGAAGTAGTAACTCCTGATCCACCAAAGCATTAAGTTTTCAAAGGAGACTGATTTCTCAGATTTTGAGAATCTTCACAATTATTCTCAATTTTAATATGTAAACCTCTATTTAATCAAAACTTATTCATAAGCTGACAGTGATCTTGAAAATATCATCTTGAAAATATCTTCATCACTCTTCCAAAAATTTACAAAGCCAAAATTGTTCCTCCTTTTTCCACATCAACATTCACAAGAATGTTCAAAAGCATTTTTCTTTTTTACAAGTTGATTACGAAGGCCAAGAGAATAATGTGGCAGCTGCAGGAATGTAACAGCAAACATAGGAAAATTAGCCATTAAATAAAAAGAAAAAGAAGAAAACTGTTTGAATCTTAAACCCATTTTTCAGTGTAGGAAAAAGATATGCCTTGGAATGGTATAAAAGACAACAGATAATGCATGTATTACAATCTCATGAGACAACATATTTCTTTCACATCTAGGTATAAGGCTGAAAAGCACAATGCAAAGGTAGTAATGCAGAACTGCACCATAAGGACTTGAGAGCAATGGCTGGCGCAGGCTAAATCTTAATGAGTTACCCCACGCCCCCCCCTTCTTTTCCCCTGTAAAGAACAAGTGCTGCTGTGTCTAGCAGTAGTTGTACTTACTGATATGGTCTATGGATCCTGCACAGAACTTGCCATAAAACTTTTTGGCGCCAAGACCCCTCAAGTCATGTATGGTGAATGGCCACAAATGCAGCACGTTATTGCGGGAAAAGGCATCCCTCTTTTCTATGACCACCACCTTGGCTCCCAGGAACGACAAGTCAATGGCTGTACGAAGGCCACAGGGTCCAGCCCCAATTATCAGACACTGCAAAACAACCAGCACAGAGTAACTTTACAGGCATTTTTACCATAGGTTCCAAGCATCCTACAGCTCCTTGGAGTAAGTGTTCTTCGTCTGCAACATAAGCTGAAATTTCATGTCTTTCCATTGTTACCTACCATGTACTCCCATTGTTACCTGCCATGTTTTGCCACTAATACATTAAAGCAGTAACCACAACATGAAAATAAAGCATGTCACAGCAGTAAAGTTTGAAGAAACAGGCAGGTAAACTGCCCATTCACAACCTTTGCTTGAAGAAGAGCTGCCAAGGTATAGTCTGCAAGCTATGTATGCAGCTGGAGAACAGCAGTATTTCTGAAGGCTTCTCCCTCCACATTTCCATCCATCTCTCATCTTCCAAAGCTTAAGCTCACCTTTCTTGAGAAAAATTTCAGTAACGCCTGGCAAAATCTTGGAGCAGATTCTCCTGGAAGGCATGCTAAGGCACATGGAAAACAACAAGGTGCTTGGTGACAGCCAGCATGGCTTCACTAAGGGGGAATCCTGCCTGACCAATTTGGTGGCCTTCTGTAATGGGGCTACAGAACTGATGGACAGGGGCAGAGCAGTTGACATAATCTACCTGAACTTGTGCTAAGTGTTTGACACTGTCCCACACGACATCCTTGTAGAGACACCAATCTGACAGGTGGACCACTCGGTGGATAAAGAACTGGCTGGATGGCCGCATGCAAAGAGTTGTGGTCAATGGCTCAATGTCCAGCTGGAGACCAGTAACAAGTGGTGTCCCTCAGGGATCGGTGTTGGGACTGGTCTTGTTTAACATCTTAACCATGCCAAGTGCAAGGTCCTACACATGGGTTGGAGCAATCCCAGGCACAGCTACAGGCTGGGCAGAGAAGAGATTCAGAGCAGCCCTGCAGAGAAGGACTTGGGGGTGCTGGTCAATGAGAAAATGAACATGAGCCGGCTTCAGTGTGTGCTTGCAGCCCAGAAAGCCAACCATATCCTGGACTGCATCAAAAGGAGTGTGACCAGCAGGTCAAAGGAGCTGATCCTGCCCCTCTACTCTGCTCTCGTGAGACCTCACTCGGAGTATTGTGTGCAGTTCTGGTGTCCTCAACATAAAAAGGACATGGATCTGTTGGAACAAGTCCAGAGGAGGGCCACGAGAATGATCAGGGGACTGGAGCACCTCCCGTATGAAGACAGGCTGAGAAAGTTGGGGCTGTTCAGCCTGGAGAAGAGAAGGCTGCGTGGAGACCTCATAGCAGCCTTCCAGTATCTGAAGGGGGCATATAGGGATGCTGGGGTGGGACTCTTCATTAGGGACTGTAGGGATACGACAAGGGGTAATGAGTTAAACAGGGGAAGTTTAGATTGGATATAAGGAGGAAATTCTTTCCTGTTAGGGTGGTGAGGCACTGGAATAGGTTGCCCAGGGAGGTTGTGAATGCTCCATCCCTGGCCGTGTTCAAGGCCAGGTTGGACGAGGCCTTGGGTGATATGGCTTAGTGGGAGGTGTCCCTGCCCATGGCAGGGGGGTTGGAACTTGATGATCTTAAGGTCCTTTCCAACCCTAACTATTCTACGATTCTATGAATAGTAAAAATTCCTCATCACCAGTGAGAAGCATAGCAATGGTTTTGTCAGATGAGATGCTAATATTTTTATAAATGTCATCATTTAGAGTAGCACAGTCAGGAGTTAAGTCAGAGCATCTAACTCACGCCCATGCTGGTGCTTCTATGGCAGCAAAGGAAAACCTCAGGAAAGCAAATATAAGGTAACTACAAACTTTGTGTGACTAGATAACTTTTACCAAAATGTTTTCTCCAACTGAACATTTGTCATATCAAAGGACTTTCATCTCCTATCTTTTTCCACTCTACCCACAAACACTATCAGAGGCTATTAAAAAACCTCAGAATGTAAACATATAGAGTCATAGAAACAAAGTGTACAGCAAGATCGTTACTTTTAAGATAAAAAAAACAAGATAGTCAGTTGACACTTCTTACCCACAAAAACTGAGATCCACAAAGCGAGCTGGAATGGGTATGTGCATTCACAGGAATACAGTAGCAGTCTATTTTGCTGTACCAGTTTTGTACTTTGGTTTCTATTGAGTATAAACCAGACCCACAGAATAAATACCTTGCTACAGTGGCAACGGCTGCTGCCATGTGAGTATTTTCCAGATCCTTAAATACCCTTATGACTGGACAGCAAAGCTCTGAGAAATCCTTGAGTATGCTTAAACTTAATCAGAACCCAACCTTCTGATAAGCAGCCTGTTCCAAAGCAAAGCTCTTCCTTTGTTGGTCATTCCCAAATGCCAGTTTTTACAGGTTGCCACATTCGCACCAGTTTTTCTCTGAGGCATACATTTTGCAAATGATGTGGAACTGCAAAGTTTGAATGTCCAAGTTACAGCAGTGACAACATAACAACTGACATGTGAATTCAAGGGCTATTGTATGAGATGTCATGTACATCTGAGGGCAGAGATCCAAGCCTTGAGGAAAGGGAAGGGCAGAATAACAGCACTGCTTCTTTAGTAGGTTCAGAACCTGAAGGCATATGGGAAGAAAAGGCAAGCCCAACCACTGAGCTTTTAAATTCCTAAATAGACTTGTATATTGAACATGTGTCCAACTTGTCATTTGTTAAAGCAGATCATCAATTAAGATCTAATATATTCTTCCAACTTAATATTGTTTTCTTTGTAGGTAAATATAAATCTCAAACACCACTTACATCTTTCTTTAAGAAAATGAGCTGAGTATATCATTTATCCACGTAACAATTTTGCTTGTCTGACAGCTACAATTTTCAGAGACTGGGTTCTATAAGCAACAAGATCTCACTGAGTTGAGTGACTTTAATTCTTCCGATGACTTTACCCATATGAAATAGATATGATGCAGTACACAACAGCAAAGGAATTGTACTAAAATCAGCCTATTCAAACCCACAGCTGCATAATCAAATTATAAATTATTTGCCTGCAATTTTGTCACAGAAATGTAAATATTACTTTCCTCTACAACCTTCTCCACACACAAGGATGTGGTAAACAACATGTAGGTATGTTCAAGACCCTTGATGTAAAACATGCGATACTCAGTGAAATAATTCACGGTGGAAGTTGCCTTTTTTTAACCACCACAAAACTATTAATTATGTTGTTATAGAACACAGTGAGATTTAAGCACAATTAAAACCAGAAGATTCTGCACCCTTTTCCACCTTCTTCGCGCTTCTTCCAGCTGCAGATCTCTCACAGAAACCTACTTCTGATACTCGCACAGGCAGCAGTAACCACATGGGATGCCAAGTACAGCCTAGTAAATAAAGGCAACAGCTTCTGTTGCTCCTTGTTCCCTTATCCTGCAATGAAAACGAACAACTGCTGCAACTTCATGCACTAAAACTGTCTCACCCCTCAAGAAACACTTCTTGCTCAAGATCTCTCAGACAGATTATATGAAGCTTCCAGTAACACCACCATGGTAATGGAACATTAAATGCAAACTGAAATCCTGTAATCTCTGTTTAACCAATGAAGAGAGAGCACCATTTGTAACTATTTACATCTGAACAGCCCATCACATCCAAGCCTTGCTTTCATGAATGCTGACTATCGGAATTCTGGTTAACCTGGACACTGGCCATGTGAGGCACTAACTGCCCAACACCAGTCACAGCACTTCATCCTTGTTTTTTAAATGGGCAAATAAGAGGTATGCTACAGAGAATGCAAACTTCAAAACTGGTATATGATCAAGTGTAGAGAAGCTGAGCTTCCTAAAGAAATGACTGAATTCTGTTCTGATAACACGGGTAAACCTTAATGCTTATTTTAAATTCTATCACCTCCACATGCCCACTTAAACGTTTGTATTTTTTTATCAGTGTTTTGCAAATTACTTTAAATATTATGAATATAAAACTAAGTGAGCTAGTTTCCTAGATAAAGTATGATTCAATTTTACAAAAGGCTTCTATTTTGAATAGTTACGATTATCTCTTCAGAATTACATATAAACTTAATGGCAGACTTAATGGCAGATACTACTAGAATAGGAAATTAGTAATTAACAGAAGCATATGTGAAAAATATATAAAGAATACATATATTTATAATTTCTTTCCATTAAAGATTTCAACAAAGTTTACATATACAAAAATATTTATCATCACAGGTATATATTCTTTAACATATGCTAATAAAAATATTTTAATCAAATATTACTTTCTCTCTGATATTAATTTCACTACTCAAAATGGTGTGAATCCCAAATCCACAGTCCTATATATTTCTGATCGAGGCAGAGGAGGATGCTACCTTTAATATATTCACCATCCACCCTTTTTACTTGTGTTTCTATACAGCATCTCACCAAAAGCTTCATAGAAAGACTGGCAAATTACTCTCTGGTTTGTCTCCATTCCACTCCCTCTTTTCCTTTATTCTCTTTTGTAGCTGGGTGTCAAAACTCCACTCATATCTTCTCCTTTGTTATTATTTTTTTTTTAAGTCCTCGTAATCAAGCACTACCCAAATCACTCATTTTTCCATTAGATCTCTTCTTTCATGTTGCATCTCTATTATCAAAGCAACCTTTTCTTCAGTGGTAGCAAACAGTCTTGCCCACTGAGATATATTCAGAGCCCAGATGCAAAAATCACTCTTTTGGTTTATTACTTCAAATAAGTTAAAATACCTCCACATTCTTTCAGAGCTTTCTGAGTCTCCTTATTAAAACACAAGCCACCTGCCTTCATTTCAAAGCCTTTAACATCCTATTTCAGTTGTACCCATCACATTTCATTCAAAAGAAATTCCTCAACACAATGAATAAAAAGTGCAGTCAGTTTTCAGGAAAAGAGTTTTGAATTTGTCTCCATGATGTTCACATAGTGCTCAGAAGTTTTATTCCTAAATGTACACAAAAATCACTACATTTAACTTCCTGTAAGTCCTTCCTTCCTTATCCTGTCTGAAAAACGTAAACCTTAACAGTGATTGGACTTCTGCAGTGTTGCAGCTACTGCCCACTGTGATTACCAGCGGTGCCCAACTGTTTTAATGTTTTCCAAGTTAATCTATATGCACTGTTACCTTTCATCTGATGTACTCACTGTAAACTTTGAGGAAAGCGTTATCTTTACAAGATGTAGAACAAGTGCACCTTGGCCCATTACTGATTTTTCCAAGTGTTATTGTAGTCAATAATAAATACCACCATCCATATGAAAATGGCCACTGGGAAGTGCAACAGAATAAACAATCAAGAAATTAACTTCAGGTTCTAATATCTAGCTGGAAATTAAGCTTCAGTCCACAGATCTGAAATGCCTGGCAGAACCAAAACAGGATATATTCCCCCCTCAGCTCTCTACTAAGGAATTAGTCATTAATTCCTCCTATTAAGAAACTTCCTTCTCCCAAGGATGAATATTCAAGAGAAGAAGCAGCATTTATTGTCCTCAATGGAGGTGGCCAGAATCCTGTTCTAATTTTATCATATCCCATACCATTTTCCTTTTTTAAAAGTGTATGATTATTTGCAAAAATAACCTATTCCATTCACATTTTTATGAATGATATAAAGAACTGCTTTCAGTTACAACAAAACAAATAAATAAGTTCATAACATGCAGTCCAACAAGGGTGCAGCACATAAATACCAGCCCACAATAATCCAGGTTAAAGAAAAAAGTAGGGCGTGTATGTAAAAGCAGGAACTGCTGCAGTAAATACCACACATACCAATCTGTTAAAAGGAACTGATATGAGTTTCCACAGCATTTTTTTTTTTCTTCTCTGAACACGGAATACAAGTGACTGCCTTTTTAATAGAAAATAGAGTATTTTGCCAAATTGGCGGACAAGTTCTCGTTTCTTAAGAGAGTCATGAGAATTTTCAAATTAAAGTTGGAAATTTCCAAACACACATATTTTGTACCTAGATTCCAACAGCAAATTTCACATGCCTGTTGCTGTCTAGTTAAAAAAAAAAAAAAAGGAAAAATAAAAAGCCTACCAAGATTCAAGGTTTACCAATTAAGATTTTCCAGCCATCTATGGTATTAATGCCATAAAAACGTAAAACATTGAAACTTGCAGGCTACTTCCCATTGAATTACAAACATTCTGGTCATTCCCAAGAATTTCCATTCAACCTCCCCTATGCAGGTTGGCAGTCAAATTTGGTAGTAGCAAAATAAAAGTCAAGTGCTAACAAATCACAACTATATTATAAATAGTACGTGTGAGAGCATTCCCATATCTTATACTGATTATACCAGCACCAGTCAAACATCTTTCTACATCAAGACATTTTAGTAAGTATTCCAGAGACAAACAGGGTAATAGTTGTCTTGACGACTGTGAATAGACCTCTTACCTTCGTGTTGGCGCATGCTTTCCCCTTCTTATAGTCCTTATGGCTGCCTCTTTTATCCAATTTTGCCCACAAGGCTTTGGCTTTCCAGTAATTGAGCTTGGACTTGAGTTTGTGGTAGAAAGAACGATAGTCCTTGGGCTTTAGTTCTAGGTAGTCGCAGAGCTCTTGGAAAGCCTTAAGAGTCCCCTTGCAGGTTGAAGCCTGGACAAATCTGTCAAAGAGAACGTGAGCCTGGTTCACCTTCTCATTCTTACTTTCCTCCATGCTTCACACTTTGCAGCTGCCCTGAGGGGCAGCTGCTGTCTTCCAGTGCGCCAGATTTCCCGATGTTGGTCTGATGAGCCACTTTCACCTCTGGCTTATGAGCATTATTAGCCTATAAAATAAAAAAGAAGATGTAACTGAGCCTGCTTTTTTTCTTTTCAAATTTTTTTTCTAAGCTTGCTGAACTGAGAGCCCAGATTCTCAGGAACTAGTAACACATCAGCCCTAAGTCAGTCAACCTACGCACGCTGACTGAATCAGAGCCTTCCGAAGCCCACCGAGCCTCAGACAGAAGAGCATCTCACCTCTGTTAAATCACAAAATGCTTTAACCTGAGCCAGTCCCTAGACAGTTTCATCTGAACTGATTTCACATGAACAACAGAGAAGTTAAACTGGCAGATGTTGTGCAATGGTTGGAAATAGGTGGATGTTTTAAAAAAATAAAAATATGCAGACTTACTACTGTAACAGTCACTGTGGTAACACCACAGTAAGGGTTACATGCTTTTCTTAAAAAACACTACCACCACAAAGTATAAAGCAGTCGGTTTTCCACCAGTAAAATAAGTTTTGGCTCTTTCATTCTAAAAGAACATGTGTCTTTGCTCATGATAAATAGAGAAGAGAAAAAAGGTTGGTACAGCACAAGCTGATACCTCTGCTGGAGTCCTTGCAAACACTGCTTTTGTACAGTGACATAACAAACCCAGTGGTGGCTTCTGCAACGCTAGGAAGAACTTAAAACCTGCTGAGAGCAATCAAATTTAAGAAAAGATGTCAAGACTGAAGAAAGGGAAAAAAAAACAACCCTATCTCTGTTGCATCAAGCACTATAAACATCTGTCTTACCTAGAGCTTATGCGTGTATTCCTGTTGGTCATAAGCAGTGTTAGAGTGAAATGTGGCTGATGAGCAATTCTTGTGAGATTCTCAGAGTGCCTCCTGTATTCTGTGGCTTTCAGCTTCTTTCAATAAGCAGGTCCCTACACAGTTTTGGGTGGCAGTTGAGATCCTCAGCAGATTAAATATGCTAAGAGAAGGTCTGTTAGTCTCAGTTGCTTTTCTGGGATCCCTCAGAAGCAGCCTGAAGACCTACAGAACTGTGTCACAAATAGCAGATTTTGTTTGAAGAACAGGTACTTTCTCTCCCTCTCTCTCATATATAATAAACCTCTTTCTTCCTCTTATACACAAGACTCTGCTCTCGAAGAAAGAGCACTTCTGTTTGTCTTCAGATAGGAAGGCTGCATGGGAATGTATGTGGGAACTATGGAAATTAAAGCACTTGAGTTGCTTTTTGTCCTTTGTTGGGGCTTTTTTTGCAAAGGGTATTAAGGCAAGAAAAAAGGAAACATGTGGACTCGGATAAAAACCTTTTAGATTCTCACCAGCTCTTTTCCTGCTCTCAGCAGACAGGAAGCCAAGTAAAACATTACAGCTCATGTCTCTTCCCCTCCTGCATGACAGCTCTGCAGCAGCTCATTTGGGCACTCCTGCATTTCAGCCTAACAAGGTATTTATTGCTTATGTTTAGAAATAGCAAAGGAGGCCTGGAAACCACTATATACAGCCATACATTGTTTGTTATTAAAAATAATATTTCTTACAGAAGCCACAGTACAACAATGGGTTATACTGGAGAATGTGATTCTGACTTTATTAGGACAACTGCCTCAGACGCCTCAGGACACACGAAGGTGGTTTTCTAACTGGCTGATAGTGATGCCATGTCCGTATCAGTACTGCTCACTAAGCAGGATGGAACTACTTTCCTTATTTTTAATCTTAACTTCACTCTTGTGAAGCTGAAAGCTTGCTTCAGACTTGCAGCTCGGGGTAACCACTGCAGTCCAGCAGAGGTCTAAGACACTGTGCCTGTATTTCCTCTTCTGCTCTCAAGAATGTTATAAAGAGCTTCAATATATCAGCTCTTACACTGAAGGAGCAAATTCAGTGTGATGTATTAGGCTGTAGGCATTTTACTGTGTTTTTATTACACTACATGCCTCAATCACCACAACCTTGAAAGTTTAATACCACTTTGGGTTTCCTCCACATCTTGCACCCTGCTACCACCCAAACACTCACTTTATACCAGTGCTTCAGGTGACTGACACTTCCTAAGAAAAGAAAAAAACTGAAGTTATATGACCTAAATTAAGTGGAGTGGCAATTTAAGGCTGTTAGTCCACAGTCCATTACTGATATAGCTAGATGTAAGTACAACACAGGTTTTATTTCTTACTCTTGCTTCTATTGTACTTTTTCAAAGAAGTGAAGCAGCACTCTTTCTGCACTGCTCAAGAGAGATCCCGTAGTTAAAATCCACCCTACTTTCATTCTAGGAACTTCCCGCTTTGTGTGCAAGGTTTGCCAAGCCCAGAGACAAACCTGCAAAAGCAGGTAACTTTATGCAGCACAACCCAAGCGGCACATTAATACAGCAGTTCTTGCCAATAACCCATTTCACACAGGCTGTGAAGTCGGTTATGCCCACAGGTCAAATACTGAGGCTTCAGTCACCACAGCAAGTCACTCCCCATAACTCTGCATTCCTGATGTAAACACCCAAAGCACTTGGAACCTGTGAGCAACATGTCAGAGAACATGGAAATTACAGGAGGAAAGCAAGGGCAGGCAAGATTTATTTGCCAGGTTTCCAGGGTATTTGTGTGCCTTGCTGGCTATTCTGCAAGCCTGCAGTATCCGGCATGTTTTGTCTCGAGGCAGCTGATTGCTGACTCAGAAGCTCTGTAAATTCCTTGGCTGGAGCATTGGGAGAGAAAGACAAAGGCCATGAAAAAAAAAGCATGCAAGAACAGTGTTCATGTTGCTATTTACAACAATAGCATGAGGTTGTCACTGACTCATGACTGCAAGTACGCTCAGGATCTCCAGCACTTGCCCAGGACAAGTTTTCTTTGAAACCAAGGCAAACTGAAGACACAGGCAATGAATAATTCCAGGTAGTGGTTCCTTCCCACAATCACCACAGATGCAGGAATATGAATATTTTACCAAATGCATGTACAAGTCCAATGCCCTACTTCTGTCAAACGCAAAAGATAGGAAGAGATTTTGCAAGTGATTCACATAATGAATTTGGTTGTACAGATTCATGTTCCTGCAGAAAGTGCTGCAAATCCAGAGCTCCTACATTCCAGGCAAACAGCCCCCCCATTATAGGGGTCACACACACCACCACCCACCCACACACATTTTCCATCCTGATTTTGTTCAAAGTGCTCATTCGACTAATGACTTGCGCCTGGAAAAACAAAATATTATGGAAGTGTATTTTCCAGCATTGTTCTCTGTTTTTCCCCTGGCAGAAACTATTGGGTTAATTCCATCTAAATTCACAGCTTGTCCTGTCTAGCTTAAAACAGCATTTTGGGTGAATAAAGCATTGCCAAAGTAACTGCCCAGCTCTACTTCCGAATGCCGAGTTTCTCTGAGCACAATGTAAATGCTTTCTTCCATTCTTGTTATTTCACAGCCAGGCAAACACTACACATCTACCCTTGACAGACAAAAGAAGATCAACAAACTGCAGCAGTACTGTATGGAATCTGAAAGCAAGTTGGTCCATCACTCATAAAACTACTTATAGCTCCAACAGCCCAAATTTCCCACTGATTTCATCCTTTCCCTAAAATTTCCAGTTCCCCAGCAACATTCCCTATGCCCTTTGTCTCCTTTTCATGGCCCCTCAGCTTCTGCCTGAGTGACGCTCGGTACCAGGCTCTGGAAACTCTGAGGTTACTGCAGTACCTACGCAGCCAATACACACAACTTGGCTAGGAAAAGCCTAAGCACAGATTATTAAGATTATGCTGCAAACAGTGGGGACACCTATTTTTGTCTCTCTCCTCCACCCAGCCACCAGTTTTCTTGTAGGAAACCAATAACCTTTGAGATTTTTATTCCCTGTCAAATCTGGATGAAATTGTTCAAAAATTAAGGATGAACTGAAAAGCAGATGGACAAATGGCTCAACCCCATAAGCCTCCCTTCTTTAGGAAGCCACACTAAAAGTCTTTATTCCAACAGATGAAAATGTCTGTTTTCATTTCCAGGATTTGATTTATTTGACTTTTAGCTAAAACTAAAGGATGGACTTGGCTACAATATGTTCATGACTTTCTAAGTGATCATGGGTATCAATAAGTGCAGCTTTAGGGCAGTGGTGAGACTGTGGAACAGATGGCAAAAAGAGGACAATTTTGACAAGAAAAGCTAAAATGTAAACTGTCTATTATTTTAGCTCTGTATTATATAGACAGAATGTAAAAGCAGGAAGACAAAGGTGTGGCTGCCGTTGTTTGCAGCTTCCTTTTGTACCAGAGGGGGGGGAAAACCCACCAGCACTGTCCACGGTATGGTTTAAGATGGAATTCAGATATGCTCCCGTTCATAAAATTCAACACTCAAAATACACTGGCAAAAAGATGTTTGTGTTTTAACTTTCTTGTCCAATCTGATTTGGTGGGCTTCTGCTCACCATATGGGAATCTCCTGGGTCTCTGCCTCTTTCCTGTCTACCCTCCCTCCCAAGCTAGGACAAAAGTGGGAGAAGCAGAGCAAATATGAACTTGGTTGCTAATACAATAATCCATTCTCAAAGAGAAGATAAAGGCACACATACAAACAGTTCATGGAATTCTCTCATCAAGAAAACCACAATCCAGTAATGATTTCAAAAGAATACAAATTATATCCAAGAACATGGAAACATACAGAAGCAATTACAGATAATATTTTGCTTCCCAAATTCATACCCAGGTACTGAAGAAAACTGTGCATGTTGTTTGTTATGCTCTTAAGTGCCACAACGAACTGCTGAAAACATGAGACCTACAAAATAAAACCTTTTATCTCTATGAATTCAACAAATATATTCTGCTGCTGTCATATACAACTCTTTGATCGCAGCAAAGTCCCTACACTGAATGAACACCAACATAAAAGACCAAGAAACTGATCATCTCTCTTTTTTGGAAGAAAACCCCAAAGGAAATTATACTAAGGAACAAGTAACCGCCCCCTTATAAGATGATAAGGGAATAGCTGGGTAGCTGTCATGTTGGAATACAAGTTTCAAGAATCA